CCAGTGTTAAAATTTCATGAAAACTCCACTCGTTCCCCCTCCTGTAAATATGACCTCCCCTCCCTGCAATCTTCCCTCCTTCTTCCCTTAATTCCAACATTTCTTTTTGAAAAGCACCCCAAAACAACATTATGAACTTTCCCGTGTTTCTATATATTCCATATTTCATTGCCAAAATAATTGTATTAAATATCTTTATTCGTGGGAAATAAACAGATAATCCTAAATGAATATCCTCCCAATCGACAGACCTTAATTTCCTTAGCTCAAACTCAGCTGTTACATTTTGCCATAACCTTTGAACATGTACATACTCCCAGAACAAGTCTCAATAACTTAATATGTTTCAATTTTTTGCTTACAAAATGAGTACAAGGTATCTTCAACGAAGCCGAATCTCAATAAGTGTTATCTATTAAATATTACTTCATTAAGCAACTTATACTGAACCTCTCTTATTCTGTTAATTAGAGTAACTTTCCTAGGCCTACTAAATATTTCCCTATATACCTCATTGGAAAAATAAGAAAATCCCCGTGACCCATCGTGAATCTGCAAAACCAATACATTTTGTGACTTCTCTATAAAAATATTTATAAACCTTCCTCGATAAAAAAGAATCCACGAACAGCTTCACAGTACTCTTTTACATCCACTTATCTTCTTTCTTTTTTTTCTCAAAATAGCTTCCCTAATATTCCATACATCTACAAATTTGTTTCCTTTTAACGTAATGTTGAAAATTAGATTTTGACTGCATGCCATCTCAGCTGGAACTGAAATTATATTGCTTTGAAAAAAATTCTCATCACATATAATTTTATTTTATTTTTTTATAATAAATTTTTATTGTTAAAAATAATTGGATTATTATTTTCTTCAGAATTTCTACAGCCTTCTAACAATTCCCATCTTTTGATCATTCTAATAGAACTTAGGTACTTTGAAACTTAATAACTTGGAATCATAGTTTCACGAAAAAAAATCTACCTCCTAATACCACTTTGGAGCAGAAATCAAAGTATAGCTTTCATATTATTATTTTTTTTTTCGTACGATAAACTTTTTACCCACATTACACATTGGGTTTTTACAAACAAGTCAAAATTATTCATTCCTTACCCCCCCCCCCCCCCCCCCATCCCCCTCCTACATTATAACCTTGATACAATATTAATCTGTTAATTTGATCTTTCCCATTCCATATGAATTCAAAACATATTTTCCAAACACCGTGAGGTCCCTCTGTTTCCACCATTCGAGAAGTTCTTAATCTCGCACAAAATCTTCTTATAATTCAACTCCTCTCTTATTCTGATGTCTAACGCAAAATACACTCCCAAAATCTTAATTTCTTTAACCAAAATCCCGAGTTATTTAGTAATATTGGCCCACAACCGGCGAAAGAAATGGGTACTACAAATGTCGCTTTTACAAATTATGATACTCTCAACCATTATATATTGATTCAAAAACTCGATACATATGGAATTCGAGGGCAAACTTTATCCTGGTTTAAAAACTACTTATCGAACAGACAAGATATTTTTCACATGATGGTACTGACTCTAGTCTTTTACCGATTAGGTGAGGTGTCCCTTAAGGCTCTATTTCTGGGAGCTCTTCTTTTTCTTTTGTATGTAAACGATATAATGAACGCATGGCATGGCACAAAAGTAATACCAGCCATGCTAAAGCCAGGGTAATAATTTCCGCTTTGGAAGCGCATAGAGACGTTGAATATAAATGTGATATGAGCTATGCAAGAACCGAATATTATTATTATTATCATCCTTTTTGTCATTATCAATGCTGATGACATACATATTTTGTTTACTTACACAATAACACTGAAACACTAATGAATACCTTTAATTTGGAGTTAACATAAGTGACCATATGGTTTAAGTGCAATAATTTATCTCATGATATCAACAAAAATCATGTTATACCCAAATGCACAAAGAACTGCGGATATGACAATGAACTTATTGATTGATAAGTTGCCATTAGAACAAAAAGCGTAACTCTTTAGGTTTGTCAGAGTGATTATTGATGAATGTCTAACATGGAATGACGATTAAAATTTTATTAAAATGTCTATGTCTAAAGTTATAGGAATTGTTTGTAAAATTAATCAATTCTTTACTCAAAAGATTTTTGTTTTTATTGTATAATACAATGGTACTTCCAAATATTTCTTATTGTAATATTGTTTGGGCAAGTTGTGCGAAGAGTAAACTAAATCCCATTCATTTTTTTCCAGAAAAGGGCTATTAGCATTAGTACCGGATCATCCTTTCTTGCAAATTCAGAACTCTTATTTCAAAAGCTAAAAGCATAAGAACATAAATTAAACGTTTCACAAAAGACATACACATATAACATACACAGTTGTACTGTGTATGTGTACCGGATCATCCTTTCTTGCAAATTCAGAACTCTTATTTCAAAAGCTAAAAGCATAAGAACATAAATTAAACGTTTCACAAAAGACATACACATATAACATACACAGTTGTACTAAACGCATGTCATGTCATGCCTAAGAAAATTATTTACTATTATGTGGCTGTTTTAATTAATTTATAACTGATTACACTACATGCTATAGGTTTGGTTGCCCATATAGGTTCCTTTCCTGAGGCCGCTATGACGTTCAAGTTCTAGCTTAAGATGGCAGTTTTTAAATTTTGAAATTATTTGTCAACTGTGTTTTTTTAGAGGTATAACTATTTAATTTATTTATAATACCATATGATTATGTATGTATTTTAACTTTTGTTAAAGTGGACCGGTAACATTGTTGAAGATTGATGAAAAAACTGCCTAATTTGTGTATGAAATGCTACTTATTTTATTAATCCTGCTGTAACAACCCTCTAACATGCAATAAAACAAAACTGAAAACATTCTCAAACCACAAACATATTCATGGTTCTCTTTAAAGGCGCCAATTCCCCCCAACCAATTTTTGAATTTAAAAAAAATCCTCTGGACGGCCATGCATTATGGCTCAAGGCATGGGCACACAGAAGATTCTTTTTATGTTGGGAACCGGGGTAAAATGCAATAAATTATTGAAAATTTATTGCATTTTCTGTTTTTGTTTTTTTTTATTTATTGAAACTGCCCCCTTCCCTAGCCCCCCTGCGTACTGTCATGTTTCAGTGACAAAGCAATGGCCTCGTTACTGTGAGGCCCCAGGATCAAAACCGTATCGATGTGCTATATTAGTGCCCTTTTGTGGGGCATTCATCCTCATTACTGTCATTCATGACTTAAGTGCGTAGGTCCCCTAGTTAATAAGCATAGTAGCATACACATACTTTAGCAGTCACGCAAAACACACATTGGCAAATTATTATTCAATAAAATCTGAGAATGCATACTATTATCTAGATCTATTATTTTTAAATTATTTTTAAAATAATTCCATAAATTGGGGTGAAACAAAAATATTCCAACTTTATGAGTGAAAGTGTATGTAACAAGGAAAAGTTCTGTATTTCGGCTACGAATTACTTTATAACTCCCGTCTTCACTTCTGTACTACTTCATGAAAAATGGATCCATAAGCAAAAACAAAGTAGTTTTCAATGTACTGGATTTTTTTTCGACCAGATTTATAGCAAAGTTAAAGAAAAATTTAAATTTTATAGTAATACATTGGCATTCCAACCTTTCTTTAAGATATAATACTTACTTAGAATGTTGCATAGATTAGAATTCTATACCAATTAATGTTGAATATTTGTTCAACCTTGCTTCAACTATACAGCGTGAGTCAAAAACAGGTTTACACCTAGAAAATTGCTAATTATTTCAAAATCATCTATGAACAGTAAATTGTTATACATCTAATGAAAGCGTGTTTCATCCCAAATTATTTAGTATCATTTTTGTGAGGTATATGTTCACGCTTGGATGAACAGGAGATATTGTTTGCGAGAGTGCAAAAATCGACTTTCGTCAAAGTTGCTTATGTGATTTTTGAATAAAACAATTGGGATTTGGGTATTAATTTGGTCTTTGCAGATCCAAATAACATCCCTAACAAAATTAATCATGCCACACATATCAAATATCGAATATCAAATATCAACGATCATTAAGTGCGCGCGCATGTGTGTGTGTGTGTGTGTGACTTTGCTTCTGCAAAAAGCATATGCAATTGCATTTCTTTTGATACATTCAATTCATTCTCTCACTCCGCTAATCCGAACATAAAACATGCTGTAGGCATCATTTTGGCGCAAGTCGATTTTTGCACTCTCGCAAACAATGTGTCCTGTTCATCCAAGCGTGAACACATACCATATAACAATGATACCAAGTGACTTGGGACAAAACAATCTTTCATAAGATGTATAATAATATGGTGTGCATAGATGGTTCACTATACCTATAGTCAACGAGACAGACGGCTTACTTCGTATCGCGTCTGGTCGGGTGGTCGCGTTACAAGACCTTTCGTAGATTTGCCGTAGAGTTTTCACAAAGTGTCGGTTTATTGGAACAGACCATGTGCAGATGAGAGGGGTTCTTACAAACATTACCTCCGAAATTTCGTGAATAATGGGGTATTTTATCACAAAAAATTAATGGCCGCGCAACGCGACCACTTGACCCGACGCGATGATCCGATGATTCGCTGTAAGCCAGACAGGCATCCTACTAGCCGACAATGCAGGTCCCGTAAGCGTCCTGACAACTTTTTAAAATCTTTTTGTCGCTGGTCCATATCCTAAAATTACTAACCCAGGATGATTTGTATCATACTCCACGGCCGAGACCAAGGCCTAGAAAAAAAGTCTTTGTTTTTGTTCGTTCTTTTTTTAAATATAATTGAAGGGGGTCAGTCACCCCTTTATGCAAAGGAATCAATGCTTTTGTTATCTGTCTGTGTAAATAAAGAATGAAATTCAATCTGAACTTTGATATTATAGACTTTAACACGACATAGCAAGATACGTCTGACAATGGCTGACAGATATACGGAAGTGGAAATCGGTCAACCCATCTAGGTCCATGGTTTGAAGACTGCAAAAGAGCAACAATAATGGGTAACAAATTTACAAAATATAGTTTTCACATTTTGGCTGCTTCTGTCTGTCTTTTGGTTTTATTACGTCATTTTTGTCAACATGCAGGTGAATAAACTTGGAATGTGGATTTTATATTGAAAGCCACTACATGCATTACAAACTGTCATTTGTACGTTATGTTCGTTCAGCTTTAAATTAACACGCCCCGTTCGCTCTATCTATTATTATTTTCAAATGAATGATGTCCAATTTGATTTCATTTTCTGTTGGTCTATGTAGATACAAAATCTGATGTGTCTCTGCCACTTCTTCGAAAAATTGACAAGGTAAGGCTTTTATCTATTTAATTTTCACGGTTGAACATCATAGCGATGACTTTCTAAAGGTCAACCCATGTTAGTTTCAATAGCCCTGTGCGGCACCTATTGAAATGTGCGATCATGGCAATGACGTATTACGTAATCCGAACATTATTTGTATGGGATTAACAACACTAGGGACTTTTAGATTCGCACGAGGACAATGGGGATTGCTACGATCGACGTCCTTTTAATGCACTGTCTTGAATGGACGTCACACGTATCAGTCCACGCAAATCTAAAAGTCCCTATTAAAAGAACTAGAACGGCAATTTAATTCATTTTTCGAATGTGTTTGCGAAAGGTGGAAATTCATTTCATTTCAAATTGCACAAAATCCATCAACTTCATTGTGTTTGTATTATATATGAAATCTATGAACGTAGATGTATATAATTGATTGCACATTATATAGCACATGCAGTCTAACATGATATAGGCCTAAGGTGAATTTGTGCGATAGTATGATTTACTTGCCTTTGTTGGGCCAATTTCCAATTTTATGCCAATTAGACTTACCTCCGGAAATTCATTAAGAGATGGTTTGCAGAATCTTATATCTACAATGACCATAAAACAAGACAGTATAGTGATAGGTGCTGATTATTTGAAAATTTTGAAAAAGCGAAACAGAGAATTATCGATAATAATAATGATTAATAAATGACACATATTTGTAAACCTAAGATCCTCCTTGTTCATTTGATGCAACTCATATTATGCATATTTCAAGCATGAGTGATTCAAAGAAAAATGAAGAGAGGATACCAAAAAGTATTTGGCGGGCGGTATCTGAATTTTAAAGCAGAAAAAAAATCACATTTCTAGAAAGTTCATTTTCTGCCCTTTCATATGACATGCATCAAGTCTTTCGTCTTCTATGTGCATCGCTGATCGACAACGAAACGGAGTTAAGTCCTTTGTCATCTCTGTTTTTTGCTACGGCAGGCAGCCAGTGAAAACGTTTTTCCTGGCTCTTTTTTCCTGATAGAGGTGTCATATGAAAGGGCAGAAAATGAACTTTCTAGAAATGTGCTTTTGTATGGTTGGTAACATATTATTATTGCTATTGTGATTTTATTGTTTTCATATCTGTTTGATCGTTTTACAATGTTTTCATTATATCTTCCGTCATGATTGTAAAACAATCTGCCATTCGGTCTTCTGATTTCTTGCCTTATCGTTTTAAGTTATATAATATTAAAATAAGTTTTCCCCTAACAATAAGATATAGAGAAACTGTTTAGTTGACCAATCTTGAAAGAGGATTAACAACAACTAGAACTAAACTTCCTTTTTTTTTTTGGCCTTGAAAGAGGACTAAAAATAAAATTCAAATTTGATATGCTAGAAGATATCACACGCCATTAAATGATATATAGAAAAGCCGTCTTCAAAATCACAAGTGAATCTATAAGATGATGGCAAAATGCCCTATAAACAAAATCGGAATGGTCGACTGCACTAGGCCTTGCTTGCTGATAAGATCAAGGACTAAGCAACATGGCGGCGTGTGCACTCGAGCACCCAGTAGTGCTCCGTTTTTATATGAACTACAGACCTCCCTGTTCACAGCTTGCGAAAATATTCAGATGAATTCAAATGATATAGATAAAAGTAACACCCCCCCCCCCCCTCCCCCCAGAACAAAAATATTTTTAAAAAAAAAACAAGCAAACAAAAACAAAAGATTGAAAGATTGAGAATGGAATAATGAAGGGTGTAAGGTAAACCAATATTACTGATTATTTGGGATGATTCTGCATGAATGTTCTAAATAATAATTGATGATAAAGAAAGATCAGGAGCCATGAGCTGGGTGAAGGTGAAAATATAAATCAACGGATTTATCATCAGTTCACATTAGTATCCTACGTGTATCCTTTGCTTTCTTCTGAAGTAAGCAAACAAGCAAAAAGCTAGGTAGACCTGCTTTTATAAAGAGCATGATTTAACTTTTAACATAATTTGTATTCATATTTCACTAATATACATACATCTCGGCTTCAAACTAAATGTAGCCAAAAAGCACAAAGGATGCATCTCTATTTTCATTTTCCACTTTGTTAAAGATTTTACAGCGAGACAGCACCATGAAGATCAGCCATCACTCTCTAATTCTAGAAGTGCTGAACAGGTGCAACCAAGGCTCAATAGATTTTCACTATGAGCATGCACAGAGACCAAAGTTGACACCGAGGAGAAATGTAAGTCATTAATACTGAATAAAATTTGAATAGATAAAACGATACTTATGTTATTTATGTTATTTGTAGTTCTTTGTTTATGATACGTTAATGTATTGTTTTATTTCATACAAATGTGAGACGATTTTTATGCCTTCCTTTTATTTGTGCATGACAAAAAAGAAATTCAATTCAATTCAGTCAATTCAATTCAGAGACGGCATTTCCTATCAAAGGCCTTGTGGTAACTATCTCTTATTTTAATCCGAGCGAAGGGCTTGTACGGCATCAGCTCTCTCATTTATGCCATTGGCTATTGGCGGCAGAGCGAGGAAAGGTATATAAGTGCCACAAGTAGGACAATTCTTTTTGGTCAAATCAGCAAAGTGCTTCTCTCGCAATGTTTAAATGTAAATGAAAAGGTGGCACTTTACTACTCAGAATTACTGCGTTTGAGATAATTATCTTCTAGTCTTTCTTAGATCAACATCCATTTTTCTAACTGTCGTGCTTGAACGATGTGTCCCTCTTTTATCAGTGGACAAATATGCATTATCCTTTACTTTTTGCTGTATATAGTTAAGACAAGTCTTTGACCTACTTAAGAAAAAACTTGGTAATTATTTGCTTATATCAGAGATCAAAGCCACATCTTCCAATGACGGCAAGAGACGGGTTTTCATCACTGACCGACTATCAGACCTACACTCAAAATCTTACCTTCGAAATCAGGGATCATTTCTCAGAGGTAAGGGTCTGCATTACTTGTAATGAGTTTTCCGTATCACTACAATATAGTTTCGACATGATGATAAAATGGGCGAATTAAGTAAAACGAAGAGGGAAATGGAGACGGAAGAGGGAGAGATAGAGAGATAGGGAGAAAGAGAGAGAGAGAGAGAGAGAGAGGAAGAGATAGAGTGAGGAGAAGAGATAGAGACATAGAAAGAGGAGAAAGAAAGATAATGTTAACAGATCTAAAGTCAAAATTACAAAAGTTCAAAGACAGAAAAATGGTACACATAATAGATGAACAATGAACGATAAAAGAGTAAAGACGACGAGGAACAGTGAAGCTGTCATTAGCATTGTCATTAGCAGACAGTGGTGTACATTACGTGTATATGGGACCCCATTTCCCTGCCCTCATCAGAGAAGAGAGAAGAGAAGAGAGGGAAAGTGGAAGGATGAGGAGAACAGATAACACCCCCCCCCCTCCCCCGCTTCATCTCCTAATTGATGACTTAGTCAATTTGCATTTGTTTCACCAAGCTCCCCCCCCCCCCCCCCCTATAGATGTCAATGTCCCCTAAATGGCTGGACACATGCTACACCACTGAAATCAGATACGGATCATGAACTACGTGCTTTGAAATTAGAGAGGACAGGACAAATTAGGAAACTGGGGGGGTGACGTAAGAGAAGATTCATTTAATCTAATTAGTACTTTCAAGACATGCAACCCTACATGCAATCATTTGAAGTTTGTCGGATTCATGTAAAAATTGAAACGTAGCGAAATAAATGCAGGATAATTTAATTTAGTTGGGTATTGCAAAAGCTCCTTATTGTCATCAACATGAATAATGGATACTTTATTTGTGCTTTTCGTGATTGATATAGGTGGTTCGAAAGTTGACTGGATATCTGGCACAGAGGGATGATCAATGTCAGCCAGAAATATGGGCATCTTATGAAGCACTTTTCTTCACTTCAACAATACTAGATATTGAAAAGTTTTATGTGGTGAGTTACAATCTAAATTACATATTCAGAAATAAGACACAACCCAACAAATAATCACATGTTCTTGCTTTCTCTTAACCACGAATTGATGTACGTCAATCATGTGATACTGTATTCGTTAATGACAGTATGACAACTTCATACAAGTTGATCCCCATACTTATTTGTGATTATAAATTTCTGAATTATAACTTGTCATTACGTTACATTGATATCACTGAAACCAAGAAGAAGAAGAAACCAAAAGAAAAAACAAGAATAACAAAAAGAACAAGAAGAACAAGAAAAGGGAGAATAAAATCAAGAACAAAAAGAACAAATTATAGTAAGCCTAGTAGATCTTTAAGTGTCCATTACGCTTATTTGATAACAAATAATTTATTAGCTGAATGTGTAGAACAATGTAAAGACTTCTCCTTTGACCATTAATGATGCCAAACATAAACATTGTTATTCCATACAGCTCGCCTACGATGGAGATGCCAAGCTCCTTCAGATGCTCCTCCCTACAGCCGATCCTAGGAACATGAAGCTCAGAGGTGAATGGGTCATCGATATCCTTGATCCTGTCAAGACCACCAGACCAGGAACCGCTGAGAAGGCTACTCAGACCGATCCAACTTCGTCTGATGAAGAGGATTCCGGTACGTCTAGAAGAGGCACGACCTCGACAGCAAGGCAGGGGGCCCATAAACAGGCAAAGGCATCGGAAAATCTTGATACGCATCGGTCAAATCCTGATCAAGATCATGATGGGAACAAGACTCCAAGAGGGGCTACCAGTGGTGTTGGTGCAGAGGAACACCGGCTGTACTATGTGGACAGTGTCTCACATGTATCCCTCGCTTCAAATCTGGAAGAGGAGATGGAAAACCTTTACCCGTTCCTGCGAGATGTGACCCTTGGATCGACGGATCTGAGCAATCTCCCTGCAATCACACCTGAACCCCAAATCGATCAAATGGTACAGAAGTCCCAAGTCCAGTCTGGGAAACAGTGCCTCCCTCCTAACTCAAAGTCACAGAAGAATCACAAGCAGATCGACTCAGGAGGACCTGTGAGTTTTGAAGACATGTTCAGCCGGGCATACAAGTGTTTGAGGATGGTCTTACAAGAAAGACTTCCGTTGGTCAAACTTCGCTGGTTGGTCATGTGTCTTCAAGCTCTGTCCGAATCGGTCAAAGAAGGAGTGTCATGTGAGTGTTGTAGGTGATTCTTTCATATTACATTCATCAAGACAATATTGATTAAGGCTATTGAAAATAGAATTTATATTATCTTACATTTAAACGTGAGCCTTTATCATACACAATACAGCGAGTACAAATATCCGGGACAAATATGAGTATTCAGAACTTGGAATTTTTTTCTATAGAGATATTGTAGTGGTTTCATCAATTGACTGGGAATGTAAAGATTGTGGGTTCGAGCATTGTCAAAGCACATATGTCCTTGAACAAGGCATTTTAATTATAGTACATTGCTGTTCTCCATCTAGATGTTACATGGGTACCTGATAAGATCATGCACATGTGATGTTATGTGGTTGAATTACCATGTGGGCACCTGTAAAAGTTGACAGATTAGCTGGAATGTCCCGGCCCAAATGGAGAGGAGAGTATGCACTGTTCAGTGGAGAATCATAATGGTATCCAGCGAACAGCGTAATACTGTAAACGCCATGGTCGATTATGCTGTATATTATGAGAAACAGCTATTACTCTACATGTCTGTGTTCATCTCATCCATCTCTTTATCAACAGGTAAACTGGGTGGCAAAGGTCGCTCAATCGGTACAGATGACCTGCTACCATCCCTCATACTCTTCCTCATCAAGGGAGATCCTGGGCAGGTAACAGCGTTGTACCCGCAGCTGAAGTTCCTTGAAGACTATCTTCCTGACATTGTTGCCTCCGGCATCATCGGTTTCACCGTGGCTCAATTCAGCACATCATTTGCTTTCATCATTCAAACAGACGGTGGTGATACCTAGGCATAAGGTCTTCCTATAAAAACTGTAGAGGTGTTTGGTTTGTTGGTTTCATTTACATGTACCCAGGGGCAGCGATCCCGGGGGGGGGACGGGGGGGGGGGGGGGACACGTCCCCCCCCCCTCAATTTTTTTAGGGGGGGGGATCGTCCCCCCCTGGAAATTTGAAAAAGTGCAAAACAAATTGTATAGCATATACTGAATAATGACTGCAACACACTTTTAGGCTCCGGAAGGCCCAAGAGTGCAGTGTTTAGACTAATAAAATTGAGAAAAAAAATCTCGCTCGGTCGCTACGCTCCCTCGCATAACATCCTCGTAAAAAAATTTGCATTTCATCCCCCCCAGTCATTAACAGAAATCGCCGCCCCTGCATGTACCCGATTGCTTAAAGGAAGCACAAGTTAAACTTGCAGGTTGAAGTCCTCTCTGGAGAACTTGTAATTTGGATTAATATTATGAATGCTTTATCAAAGGGCACTAGAGCGTCGACTTGGTTTTTAACCCGGGATCTCTCAGTTAAAAGACCACTGCTCTACAATTGAGCCATTGGGCCTCCTCAATATGTTGTTGCCGGGTGGTTTCAACACTAGAATGGACATGAGAAGGTCATGGGTTTGAGCCCTAGCGCGTCACTTGTATCTTTGGTAAGGCAATAGTCTACATTTGCCACTCTCCACCCAGTTTTTAAAGTTTATTTCATTAGCTTTTCTTCTTTCAAATTACTGGTGGCAGTGATTGGTTTAAGTATGTATCCGAGTTGAAAATATATAAATATAGAGATTAAAGATGGATGCATAAATGACAAAGAATACCTCTATAAAGAAAACATAATGAATCCTTTACTTTCATTGTAGCTATAACGACCGACGACCGTCGCAACTAACGTTTATGTCGGTGTAATATTCAGTTTACATACTAAACTTCTTTGATAATGTTTTGGGCATGTATCAGGAAAATGAATAAAACAAACACATTGAAATATTGTGCACTTTAAATAAATATTAGTGTGAGTTACCATCTTTCACAAAACCTCTCTTCTTTAAATACAGATAAATCATTTTAAGATATTAAACCATGGAAATGCCCATCATGCGCGTTTATGTTGTTAATTACTTGTTGTTGAAAACCTTGTTGGATTTGTATTTTTATATCCACATGTCCAGACAGGTTGCCCTTTCTATGGATAGATCGTGTTTTTGAAGAAAATCAAAAACAGTATTTGAAAGTATCTCAAGGAAAGTATGTCATCAATATCACCAGCAGCAAATATTCATTGTATTAATGCTACTTGATGCTTTTTCCCCCTTCAAATACAGCAGAAATCTTGATAGGCCAAATTTAGCTATAAAGAGTCTTGACACTCGACCCCCATCATTGGTGATATAGGTATTTCACACTGGTCTTGATTTAATTTTGCTCATGAAATACAGAGCATTTTTCAAAGAAGGATGTGTAATAGTGTAGGCCTACTGCCCTTCTCTGCCTCCATCAGTGTTATGGTACATGTACAATTCACTCTGAAAAGATCATTGTACAAAAGACTTGTAGGCTTTTAGATTCGGTTTGTGATTGAATTGCAAGAGAGGGTGTGCTTGGAGTTTGTACCGGTAGTTAATTCTTTTCCACATTTCTTTTTTCTTTCTAGTATATGTGTGATTGCCATTGTATTCTGTTTCATATTTTCTATATTTTTTACTATATAAATGACATACATTTTGTTATGACAGTAGCTGAACTGTTTATTAATTTTTCTTCTAATGGAAGAAGAAACTTTTGTTAAAAACATCTTATAAAATTTGAGCAACATTTAGTTCTAGTATTATAACTGAGAAGTGTTTTCAAAGGCATATCATACAAGTGTCATATTCTGTAAAATATTGCATTCCATCACATTTTAGACCAAGTAAAAAAATATGAATAAAACAATTTATTAAAGAGGCCAAACTCTTAACCATTCATGAAGACAATCAATCAAATGTATCATTTTCCCTACAAACAAATTTTCTAAATTTTCGGCTGTCCTTGATGAGATAAAATACTGTACTGTACATAATTCATGTTCATTGTATCATGTCAATAGACATGTACATGTAATTGTTTGTTTTTGTTTTGTTTTTGTTTTGTTTACTATGCAGAAGGAAATAAACTAAGATCATGTATATCTTGTGACCCTCTATTCATTAACGCTTAACATATAAAATCACATCATACACAGTATATGATTTATACATGTATCATATTTAATATGACAATAGGTGTTGTGTATAAAAAGACAAATTCATATAATAACTTGAGATTTCTAGTTCAGGAACATACCTGATTTGAGCAGAAAATGACTGACAACATGCTCACACAAATTCATGTATGTATATAGTTCTTGCAAGCATAAACTTGTACATTTTCGTGCATTAATCTTGATATAAACGAGATGGAACTTCGACTGCACGCAGTCGAAAATGATGCCTCCGTCATAGAGCAATTTTACAAACCAAAACAGAAGCAATTTTTAAAATTCAAGTTCAATTGTAATCCATTGGAATATTGTGATTACAAGCTATTTCTGATATACTGTATATAAACCCTTTGATCTTTGACCTCATGACCCCAACATCTACTCAGTTCATTGGCTCTGCAAGAAACATACATATCTTGAGTTTGATGGTAATCCATCCATCGGTTCTAATGATAATGTGATCACAAGCTATTTTTGCATACATAATGAGCCCCATGACCTTTAAACTTGACCTCATGACCCCAAAATCTATTCAGTTCATTGCCTCAGCAAGATACATACTTTTCCTGACTTTCATGGTAATCTGTCTATCTGTTCTAATGATAATGTGATCACGAGCTTTTTTTGCATACATAATGAGGCCTGTGACCTTTGACCTATGACCTTGTGACCCCAAAATCTAATCAATTCATTGGCTCTGCAGGATACACATATGACTAAGTTAGGCAGGAATCCATCAGTCGGTTCTTGAGATAACGCGATCATGAGAACGGGACGTACGGACGGACGGACAACCCGAAAATATAATGCCTCCGGATACTTCGTAACAGAGGCATAATAAAATGTTGAAAAGAGCTGTATAATGATATGTTGACTATTGGCATATCATCCAGTACATGCCTTATATGTAACAGTAAGAAGTTTTGTTTCACATAAATGCATAGTCAGTAATAATGGTTAAAAAGTCTATCATACTTTATATTGATGGAAGATATAAGCAGTACTAAGAACAAGTTATATTTGTTATTTAATTAGTCAGAAGTCTCGATTTCAGGGGATGGGCATAGTGATTTTCCTTCATTTGAATTCATTGTGGTTCACCGATTGTAATAGGAGCAGATGTACACGTACACGGCTTTACATGTAAGTCTGTCTTTATAAATCTAAAAGACCTCTTTTCAATTTCATCTCCGTAATCATAGTTCATTTGCACAAATAAAAATCATGACTATTGCAAATTTTGTCCATGTTTACTTTTTTTTAAAGTATTCCCTATTATAATGGTTAATGTTTATATGCTGGTAATATTCAACCACTGTTTGAATAATCTCTTTCTTCCTTACCGGTATTAAATCTCTAATAAACACAAATCTCTTGTTTATAGTCACCTCAGATGAGGTGTATATAAACATTGAATATTTCTAGCATTTCATCCCAACTGAGAATAAAGACATTGCACTTTCCTCTCACATCACAGTCCGAAGACATAAGGGATAGACTTTGAAGGTACATCAGGGTGATCAATATGTCACCTTCAAATGAAAGGCAAGTCTTCATGCCAGTCTTGAATATTCTTATTTCATCTTCTCGATTGGAAATGTGGAAGTCTAATCAATTTGACATCTCCATATGAAAGGCAAGACATAGAGCTTTAATTCTTAGATACAATATTCCTTGTCATCTTCTTGATTGGAAATGCGGATTATTTATTAAAACGACATCTCCATATAAAGGCAAGACGGAATATGCATTCCAGCAGAAAAAAAATCCTTTTGATCTTATTTGGAATTTTGACGAAGTGGAAAATCTAATCAATTTGACATCTCCTCAGATATAGAAGCTTCCATTCCAACCTGGAATTGTTCATTCCTTGAGTATATTCCATCCCTGACTGGTCATGGTGGTGGTTGGTCCTAGTAGAGTAGTGGCATGGGTTCTCTTACCATCCATCAAGTACCTAAGAGGAATAACAAACAAAGACAAACCAGACGGCTATTACTCTAGGACCAGATGGACATGAATTGTTGATCCAGGGATCAGATGATGTCATGTCTTAAAGGGGGTGTAGCATGACAAGACTATGTGTCTCTCCCGTGGCCTGACTCGAGACCGATCGGGATGAATCGTGTACGCTAGCGTGCGCAAACCCACTTAATCAAGTCCATTTGTTTAGTTGTCCAAAAGACGATGTACATGGCATCAACCAGTATTCCCCATGCTACAACCCCTTTATGAATTGGTTTTGTTCTCCACCATACATTCTGTTAGAGGTGATGCACTGGAAGACTAGACTAATATTGAACTGCTGTTACAAATATAAAAAACATATTTTTTATGTTTTTCAAACATTTTTTCACTTACCGGTATAAAGAGTTGTGATTAATATCAACTCTTTAAAAGACAGTGCCTAGATGTAAACGTTGACTTCAACTGTACATGCAGTTGGTATCAATATACTTTTTCAGTTTAATTCCAATGAATCGCAACTCTCTGTAGGAAAGAACTTGGGACTCATTTCACAAAGGCGTGTTTCAATGATATAAATGACAAAAATCTGCTGATAACCAATCAGAAGCAACGATTTCAGAAGCTTATGGCAAATACTGTCATTTGTCACTGATGACAAGTTTTGTTAAATGTGGCCCAGGTATCAAAATAGAAATGCGCTGCACATGTATTAAGAATGCTTTTTACACTCAAGTTTGTCAGAAAAGGGGATTTTTGTTTTTGTTTACAACACAAGTTGAAAAGCAAAACTAAAAAAGGAAAATTACTCCAAAAAAAAGGAAAGGTAAGCAGCTACAAGGTGACATGGTTATTTTCATGAGGAAACCGGTGTTGAGAACGATTGCATACCTTTCTGCTACATCTCTGAGGTCGTCTTTAGTCACAGCGAAGAGTGCATCTCTAGTTTCCTGCTTCATATCATTGTCAATCCCTGTGGAGAAGAGAGTGGCACCCTTCTCGGCCGGTGAGAGCGGACTATCAACCTGTACATGGATAACACATAGCACGTTAGCTTTGCTTATCGAGATTCACAAGAAGGTACTCTTGCATTAGAACGGCATGGTGAGTTTACATTGCACTCCTGTGACGCAAGAAAATCATCTGGGAGGAACTAGAAGGGCTTTCACTCTACAACTGTTTATTGTTATATGACCGTCAATGTTATTAACCTGACCAATATTATTAAATTGACCAATATTATTAAACTGACCAATGTATAATAGGGAATGGAAAGTCCTTTAAGTATTGATCGTATTTTCATGTTATATATGTTCAGAAAACAGAAACCTGGTGCACATTGTTGTATTTCAGCTACAAATTACTTTATCTCCTATCCTCACTTCTCTACTACTTCAAGCAAAAAACATGTAGTTTTCAATATCAATATATCTCACCGTACTGGATTTTTTTTTTCTCCAACCAAAGTAACAGCAAGGTAAAAGAAAAGAAACATTTTACAGTAAAACATTGTTTTTTCCAACCTTTCTTTCAGAAACCTAGAATTTTGCTTGAAAGAGAAGTCTTTAACATGTTGAATTTGTGTTAAACCTTTCTTCATCTGTACATTTGTTTCTGTTGATCCTCTCTTCTTCTATCTCTTTTGTTTCAAAATGACATAGAAAAATAAGAGTTCAAGCTTCATACACAAGGATTTCGATGTTTATTGACATTGCTAATCTGTTGCACTGAGAAAGCTAAGTCATAAATTAAATTTCATGACAGCACAGACTTACCACTGAGAAGACAGAGAGTTTGGCTTCATCTATATCTTGTTGAGTAAACTTGCCATCTAGGGCCCACTGGACCGATGACTCAAAGGCTGACATTGTCTCCACTGTGTTGGGATCCCTGTGAATGAATGAATGAAAAATTGATTTACCTATATCACTAAACATCTTCCATGATTTACAGTCATGAATTCACTCTATGAAAGGCATCGTTTATAAATGTTAAATCTGAGATGCACAGCCCTACGTGTTATCTGTTATCAGTGTCTGTGATATCGTTTATCATTGAAGCCCTAAAAAATTGCACTTCAAAATGATCAAGAAGTGCCTCAAAAAAGTAAAAATCTTGAGTGTCTGGTTTTACCATACTCGTTTTCCCCAATAGACTGTAGTGTTATTAAAACCGTTATTTGAACATTATTTTTTAATCAAAAGTATTTTTGTTTAAATCTTTCAGTGTCTTGATAGAAGAGATGAGTATGTCATGGTCAGGCAACATGCCCAGAAGGAGGTTCCTCAACGAGGATGAGATCCAGGAGGTCATTGATGGATTCATGGCTGATGACGACAGCGAACATGGAGACGATGATTTTCTTCTTGATTCGGAGGCTCGAGAGGCAGGGTATGGCGGGCCTGATGACGACGTGTCTGATGGCTACAGAGAACAAGAGGACATCCAAGATGACATCCCAAATGACTACATGGAGAATGCATATGATGATATGTGGTGTCGTGCATTTGATCATCGTGTTGGACCTCTTCTTCGCGAAACTCTTGATGAAGTCAAATCCAGTGAAGTTTTTTCTGACTTCTTGTCAGCAGAGATAATTGATAGAATAGCGGTGGAGACTAATCGTTATGCTGACCAGTATTTCAGGAGAGTAGGAGGGAAAGAAAACTTGCCTCCTCGGTCAAGGGCAAGGACCTGAATTCCAACTGATCCAGCAGAGATGAGGGCCGTTTTAGGAATCATCATGTACAATGGCCTTGTTTGCTTGCTGGCTTACAACCAAGTGTGGAGTACAAACGCAAAGCTTAATCTTGGCATCAAGAGCATTATGTCACGGGACCGCTTCATGCAGCTGTTGTTATTTCTTCACCTGGTAAACAACGAAGATGCTCCTGAAGGTGACAATAGAGATCGACTCTTCAAGGTGAGAGGAGTCATGGACATGTTCACAGATAGATGGGCAGCAAATTTCTACCCTGGTCGTGAAGTCAGTGTCGACGAGACAGTGATGGCATTCAAGGGGAGGACTCGGTTAAGGCGCTTTAATCCAAACAAGCCTCATAAGTGGGGGATGATAGCTTGGAGCATTTGCGATGCCAACACCGGCTATGTCCAGAACTGGAACATTTCCACGGGGCAGGAAATCCTGGAGAATGATCGTGGGGCCATGCACCAGGTAGTGATGGATGTCTCGGCTGGATACCTGAACATTGGACACCATATTTATATGGACAATCTGTTTTCTTCACCGAGTCTTTTTGAAGAGCTGGCTAGCGAAGACACCGGTGCATGTGGGACACTGAGGGCCAACCGGAGAGGTGTCCCCATTGCTATCAAATCGCACAAACCCAAGAAGGACGATCCACCTTTAGTGGTAAAGGAAGGGGATATCACATATATTTCATGGGCAGACAAGCAAGCAGTAAAGCGTATCACGTCTGTGCACAACGGAGACACGTACGTCAAAGAAGTCAAAGAAGTCAGAGCAAAGAATGGTCCAGACCACATTAGGAGATATGTCAAACCCAAAGCCATGGAGCAATACGGACTGACGGAGAAGCACTTCCCAGCAAATAACCCCAAGAGGAAGGGAGATGGGAAGCAATGTTTCCGAGACTGTGATGGGTGCTCCAACAGGGAGGGAAAACGTCACCAAACATCAACTGTTTGTAGAGACTGTGAAAACATCCCCCTGTGCGACAAGCCATGCTTCAGACTGTACCACACCAAAAGGAAGTACAAGACGGCCTGTACTCCTGCGTTTCATCTTGAGATCGACAATGTTGAGGATGCGGAGCAATAGATAGTTCATTCCAGCTGGAATAGACAATATTTGCTATCATGCGATACCTCCAGTGGGATTCTATTCATGCAGGGATGCCAACCTTTCAGAGCACAAATCCGTAATCATAAGGCTAAAAATCCGTAATTTGGAGACAAAATCCGTAATTTTCTGCGCGACGCAAATTTTTCTGCACGCTGGCAAGCACAGCTCCCGCAGGCAAGCGCGATAGCACAACAAGTTAAATAAAAGTAACATAGTCTACCTGTTCATTAGTTGGTGTTACACGATGCATTTCCATTTCTTACTGTATTCTTCTTTAAAAGTCTGTAACTTCTTGCCACGCTTCTTAGTTGTGGAAGACATGATGATTGATATCTAAATCCAACCAACATGAGTTCAGATTGTCGACGAAAATCGACGAACGCTGTGACAGCCTGTGAGAAATCCGACAGTGTACACGGCGCTAGCGTAGCGAGGCCTGGCGCTGGGCATGGGCGGGCGGTAGCGGCGCGGCCAAGAGAGGTATTTCACCCGGCCCCCGCTCGCGAAGCACATGTTGTATGCACATGTATGCACTGAAAGGGGTGTGCTAGATAACAAATTGTCCAATCGGAAGCCCTGTGGGATTTCTATGCATGGATTCAAGGATGGCTGCGCTGCAATAGTCAAAAGTACGTGCTAAACCTTAAACGTGCTAAACCTTAAAGTGCTAATTTTGAAAATCGGCAAAATCCGGAATTTATGGTATGAAAATCGTACCGCCCGTAATCGGCCGATTTCCCGTAGAAATTACGGGAAATCCGTACTAGTTGGCATCTCTGTTCATGTCCTTATCTTTATATGAATTGAATTGCCATGATTTAATAAGTGCAATGTAATATCAAATGCAATGAAATTTTTCTGTCAGGCTCTTTGCGAAATGTTTATATTTTTCCATTTTGCTGATAATTATTTGCTCTACATATTATTTGCTATCATGTGATACTTTCTATTGGATTCATTCATGTTGCTTCCTATTTATTATTGGAGTAATAACAATATACATTATTTCCAAGTAAAGTAATAGCTGCTGATTGTCAGGCAAGAATATTTTGATCAAGTGTTGTGCATGTTCAGCTATATATAATTATGTCTTTACTATTAGATGAATTCAATTGCCATGATTTCATGAGTGCAACGTAATTTCAAATGCAATGTCAGGGTAATGTGGAATATATTTATCTTTTATTGTAATGTATTGAACATTTGACAATTGTACGGATTTTTCTATATATATCGTCGTATTATGGGTCTTCATATGTATTTCAAGTGAGATGCTAGTTGCCAATAAGCAAGTTTGTCATAAGTACATGGTGGAAAAGACCCCAATTTGTTTGCACATGCGCATCTGTTTCGGTGGACGCGCTACTTAATACTGGTGCACATGCTATGACAATTGTACTTTCTATTGGATTCATTCATGTCGCTTCCTATTTACATGTATTATTGGTGTAATAATAATATGCATTATTTTCAGGTAAAGTAATAGCTGCTGATTTTCAGGCAAGGATATTTTGATCAGGTGTTGTGGTACAGTACTACACGTTCAGCTGTATATGTAATTATGTCTTTACTATTAGATGAATTCAGTTGCCATGATTTCATACATGTAAGTGCAATGTAATTTCAAATGCAATGTCAGGGTTTGTGTGGAATATATTTATTTATCTTTTATTGTAATATATTGTACATTTGACAATTGTAAGGATTTTTCAATATATCTTCATATTATGGGTCTTCATACGTATTTCAAGTGAGATTCTAGTTGCCAGATTTTATAGTACAAATGTAACCCCATTTGATCCATGGAACTTTAATATGGAGCTTTGTACAATGACGTTCTTATGCCAGGGATAGTGCGCGTTTTATATATATATAGATATTTTTTTTAATCTTGTTTTAATCAGTGCACTGCATTGACCAGTGACCTTAGTCAATCTTTATTTTATTTTTTATAGTATTTTTTGTATGGTACATAGTTGTACACAATAAAGGAAGGGTGGCTCATATTAATCCAGGTAAACAGTATCAACAGGTTAATCTTATAATGAATAAAAACCGACCTGTAAGAGTAAAACTTGAAAGCGCCCTCGGTGCCCATGGATGCTCCACCTCCATATGCTCCTCCCTTCTCCCTGTATGGCGGAACAAAATTATTATCAATGAACATGCACAATATGCTGTATTAATCTAAACATATTCAAACATATATTTCATCCATTAAGGTGAAGAGATCTTGAATTCTTTAACACTGAATAAAAACAAAGAAACAAAGAAATACAAAAAATAAACACACAAACAAACAAGTTATTACAAAAAATGTCATGCAATTGAATAACGATTCCTAAATTATCCTCAAAAATGACATGATCATAGAGAAATGCTTTAGAAGATACAGGAATTTCACAAAATTTCTCAGAGCTTGAGGCAATAGCCTACACTTGGTGAAAATAAAACAAAGTAAAATTAACGTTCATAATACTGGTTCGACAATAAATCCACATGTAGGAAATCTCTCATACAGCTTTCTGATAATTGAAGGAATTATGCTAACTTTACTTGAGACTACACTTCAGACCAGAGTGACCAAAAAAATGTAGATTAATATATTCCCAATAGACGTTACAAGTGCCATGCTGAGGCACAAACCCTGAAAATGTACATCTTGGGAAAATTTGCACTGGTGTCTACACCCCTTGACTACAACATATGGAATATGCATTTGTATGAGAAATATGAAAATCAAGATATGTATGACTTCTAGAAAACACAGGTATAATCTGTGTAACCTCTTTGGAGCATTGATACCTGAGAGCATAATTTTCTGCCCCTCACTCCTACCCACTTTAACACTTATCTTTATGCTAGATAAATGATGGTCTATCCTGTCATTATCATCTGCAGATCTATGCTCACCTGATTTCCCGATGCAGGTATTTGGCAGACATCAAACGGGCAAGGACCCTCAACCTGTAAAAGAAACAAATAAAAGGGAAAGAAAGAGTTTAGTAGAATACAAAAAATGTTATCAGGGCAGCACGTCTGCTGTCTTGAAAAACAGGTCATGGTTCATACTTGTTTAACATCATATCCAAGATATTTTTGCAGTCATCACCAACCCCAAAGTTGAAGAAAACGGATTAAACTTCAAAGTTTTTTTCATTCTAAAGTGTGACAGGATATACATGAACCCCAAGTTCAATGTCTCAGAGAAATTTGTGGGATGACAAATAAAATTCTCATCCAACAAACTGAATTGCAACATTGAGCATGCATTCAGAAAATATTAAATGGACTTGTACCATAACTTTTGCAACTTGAAAGAAATATTAAGCTTGCCTCACATCAGGTTGGCAGCTTCAATTGGTGGTATTCTCGAAAGCGGACTAACTTTATTCCATGGTTTAATCCACTGACTAAGTATGGAATGCCAAGTGCCCATATGAATATATTTTTGAATAATTTGATATTTCCCTAAAAGTACCATGATAAAATAATTATATCATAGTTACATGGATATTGTCATTCATCAATTATAATATTACATTTTATTTTAATTTAGTGATAGATCAAATTATTCAAAAACATATTCATATGGACACTTGGCATTTCATACTTAGTCGGTGCATTAAACCACGGACTAAAGTTATTCCGCTTTCGAGAATACCACCCAATATCTATTTTCAAAACAATGATAATGGCTTACTTGGGGAAGTCTGGATGTGAGTAAGGCACTCCACATACAGCATGGCTCATGTAGTTAACAGGGAATGGAAGCTCGTAGTGCATTCTCTCTTCAGATGGACTGAAGTCAGATGCCTGCGGAGAACATTCAAGAGTAGTTTTCAGATACATGAAGACATGACTAGGATAAAAGTGTGCGTGTAAATGACTACTTACAGATGTGTATCAATCTACTTTGTATGTTATATTTTTGATAACTTTTAATGGTGATTATCATGGTTACGTCCCTATAATGGAAGAGAACAATAGTCGAGAAGGAGAAAAAGCAAGCATGGGTATGTAGATGACAAAGGACAGAGGAGGAGCAAAAGAGATGTGAAATACCTAAGAGAAGAAAGCATACTCAGTTTCAGGTTTTAAAGGAAAAAAATATTTTCATTGGAACAAATTTTGTTTGTTTGGGTGTTGACAAACCAAAGACAGATTTTCTAATTGATCCTTTTTACACATTTTTATTTCCAGAGCTCCTATAAAAAAAAACAAGACCTAATCTTACCAGAGATAAACTAATACAAGATACAGGTGCCAGCATGTATTTCTCTTCTTAGAATTTATGATCGGACAAAAGAGATCAAAGTAAATTAACATGCACGCCTACAACATTAGATTGAGCTTTAATGATTCCTATATACTTTACCTGTGTTAAATGTAGACTGTCTCCTAAGGGTGAGCCTGGTAGATTATCTAGAAACCTTGTCAGCTGATTGGCTGCTTGATCCACGCCTTCTGGGCTGGAGTTGACTGCACATCTACAGGTATCAACAATATCAATGACTCATTAGTCACTAGTCATTAGTGATTTAGATACGGAACTTGACGTACAGTCAAACCTATCATGAATTGCTAAAGTGAATCAAAAGAAGTGGTCTAAGGTCCTAATTCAGGTACCTTAGAATGCAACATTCAACATATTTTTTCTTCTTCTTATCAAGAACAAATACTGAATTGTGACACTTAAGCCTTGTTCAGGTAAACCATGGCATTTCTTTTGCAATGACATTTTCTGTATCTCATAACACAGAGCTGAAGTGAATATGCATAAGACCTTTGTTGGGCACACAGTTGCCATTCATTTGCATCTTTATTTCATTTTAAAAAGCACTTTACCACTCCATATCAGAATGAGCATTAATCTGACAGTGGGTCAAGACTGGATTTTGTTTTCAGTATCATCTCATTAGAATAAATCATATATGTGTATTTGTTTTCAGTATCACCATATAATACCTTATGACAGATAAGGAAATAGTTACATCATGTTGGCCAGTTTAAGCAATATTGATAGTCTGATGGTGCGCAAATTAGGTTTTGGGGTTATGTTTTCAGAATCGTTGCATAACAATTGATCATATGTTAAGTAAACAGAGTAACCACCTAATATCAGTCTTATTGAGACTAAAAATACAATAGTCTGAATGTGGATGAAGACTAGATTTGTTTTGTTAACATTATCACTGTACATGACTTGTATACTGAGAGCCAGAAAGGTGCTAACTTGTATATACTAACACACTGATAAAGCCCTTCTGGCTCTCAGACTCTAGATGAGTACTGAAGCAGTTACCTCATGTTGGTCTTGTTTAGTACCAAGGAGGCAATAGTCTGAAGGTGGGCCAAGACTGGGTCCAAGTTCTCCTTCTCGGCAAGTCCTTTTAGGAATGACACCTAAAAAGAAACAGAAGAGATTTGCAGGTTTGAGTACTACATATGAAGGTTATTTATCCTAAAGTTACATTGTTATGCATGGGAGAAAAGGAAATTTGTAAGGTGCTAAATGGACTTGAAATCAAATGCTCAAGGTGCACTCTTGCAAAAGATTAAACAACATAAAAGTACTATACACAAAAGTATAATTTCAGTAGGAGGCAATATATAACAAAGGGGGGGGGGGGGTGGTGAGAAGGAAGAGAATAATTATAGGCCCAATCAAACACATACATGTATATATTGTTTTTGAACAGTTCAACTGATCAGAGAGCATTCCACAGCTAATTAAGGCCCTGCATGAGCAAGTCTCTGTGTTCGGGGAGCTTAGAGAGACAAGTCTAAAGTTTTTAAAGCGTAAAGACCTAGACAGAATGTAGTGATTTATCAAAAGTGATATTGGTCGATGTGAATTATGTTTTTCTTCTTTGGTGTTTTTTGTTTTAATCAATTTTCTTTTTCTTAAAAGGTTACATGTACTAAATCCCTTCAATTCCCTGAGTTCTACTGACATTCCATTTCTGTCTTCAATTTATTTCACATTTGTTCATGTTCAATACAATGAAGTTGAGGTTAAGTCTTGGATTTAAACTTTTCAATTCTCAAAATGACTTGCTCATGCTAAAACAGATCAACAAATTCATTAATCTGGAGACAGAATGAGACAAGCTCCACTCATTGTATTTATAAGAAACAATTCCATAAATTTACATCACAACATAAAATATTCCAAGCACACATACAGTACCTGGGTCATTCCTCCTGCTATCTCATGAAGCCTGCCAGAGGGTGACAGACTACTTCCAGCTCGTTTCATAGCAAAGGCATGTCCCATGTATACAATAGAGTTGGCTAATTCTGCTGCTTCCATCCGTACCAAGGTAGCCAATCGCTCCATGTCATTCAGCCTTGGGCTAGGATTATTAAGAAAGCAAGGTTTCAATTTTTGAAATAAAAACTATTAAAAGGTTGACAAAATGAATAGACTTATTTTAAAAGTATTCCTAGAGTATTTGATGTAACCCCTATCCCACTAATTAGGTAACAAAACACCTGTGTGTGCTACACACAGATGCAGTTGTACAAATCAGATAAAGACCAGGTTCTTTTAATAGGTTCATTAATAGCTGCATTTACACTGCAAGCACAAACTATCAGTTTTTCTCACATTCTAGTTCTTCTCATATTCCAGTGTTTTATCAGAAGTTGCAAAACCAAAATCGAAAAACCCATCTTGGGAGTGTGGTATCTACAAACATCCAAACATGGAGTCACAGGTATTACTAACCTTGTGAATACTCTGAGAAGTAGATCAAACATGTCTGGTAAATTCCTGTCCAAACAGAAGGAAGACAGACCGATCCCCTGCGGACAAAAAAAATCAAGAAAGAATGAAAACGTTTTTAGACGGTGGTGATAGTGTTTTGATCAACTCTACATAATTCCTATCAAATCAATCATATTGTGAATATTTATCTTAGTGTGATGATATATTACAAAATGTAATGTACAGGCAAGACATTGATCTACTTTTGCCACACTCAACCCAGGTGAGGTATTAAAATGGGTACCTGGTAGGATTATTCCCTGAAATGCACTGTGCGCTAATATTGGTAGCCGAGCTAAAGCTAGGGTAATAATTTCTGAAGCTCTTGGAAGCACATAGAGACTAAGTATTGTGCGCTATACAAGAACGGACTATTAATATTATTATTATACAGGAATCATTGGTATAAATAAATAAGAGTAGTGCATCTAGAACAAGGTCATTGCCTAAAAATCTTAAGAGCCACAATTTAGTAATAAATTATTCATACTACATTCAGCTTACTGTTACACATACCTGTTCATATTGCATGACATCACTGTGATATTGTGCTATATGTCTAGAAGTTGAGATTCCGCCAGTCTTTAGCTCTTCCTTCTGAGCAAACTCTATGAAATCAAGCTCCCCCGCACCCATCCTGTCATATAAAAAGACATTAAAGATAAAGACCAGTTATGGTCATGCGATTGCATTGTGAAAGAACACGTGCACGATATCTATCAGGTCCAGATAGATATAATAATTTACCAAATATATCAATTAGTAGGCGGTTTCTCAGCAAAATTTGTATCATCACGTATTAGTCAAAACATATTCTTTCACATGATTGGTAATAAGAGCTTCCATTTCATTTTTTTTTTGAGAGGGGGGGGCGTTTCCAAAACTGATCTTTACCTTTAATAAGCTCTTTATTCTTAGGTCACCTGCCCAGAGAAACCTTACAAAAACAGACAACCAAAAGACAATTAAATCATGTCTTCCTTTGGAACAAACTTTGAAATCTAGCTACCATGCCCCCATGACTATGGTTATGAGATATAAAATGATAAGATGTACATCCCATCTGTACCAACTCACAAATATCATACACATCAGACAGAGGTGCAATTTAACAAATTATCAGATAAACAGATAATTCCTTCGTTAATTTGTGCTTGTTATTTAATGTATGCAAGTCTATGTGGGACATGAATCAATTAATATTTGGAATTTACCCATTGATTTCAAAGATGCAATTATTAGCTCAGTAATAATTCAAACTACAAATAGTTGCATGTACAAATATCAAATACTAAAAAAAAAATTGTTTCTTATACCATCTAGATCATAGTCTAAGATCATCACATCAGCATCTTCTTAAGATCCTAAAGACACGAGTAGCCTGTGGTGGAAGGGCTTTTTCATTTGCAGCACCTTGTCTTTGGAATAATTTACCATTTAATTTGAGAATGATAACTTCCTTAGAGACATTTAAATCCAAGCTGAAATATTATCTTTTTTTAACAATACCTGTATTTGGCACTATGACACTCATTCGAACTTTCTTGTCAAAACTTTCTCATTCTTTCTATTTTTCTTGTCCGCCTCAGAATAGCATTGTCTAGATAGACGGCGCTATACAAATGCCTATTATTATTATTATTATTTGGAAATACTAAGATAGCATTAAGCATGAAAGAATATACAGTTTTCATGGCTGTCTTGGAAAAAAATCACAATAAGTAAAACTTTTCAATACAAATAATAAAGCAACTATTCCTACAATAAATGATAACACAAACTCTGACATGAATACTGAGACAGGACTCACTTTGTGATGACATTGCAGAACAGAGGCAGGTAGATCTGTAGGTCATCTGGAATGTTGTCTGGTGTGAACATGGCCCTGAAGTAAGTGATCCCATTGGTTGGTTGCTCACAGAACTGAGTGTGAACACCACCTGAATGGATGGGCAAGGCATGACAACAGAATCACCTCTATTCATAAACTGGCCAGGTTACATAAGGTATATGGATATTGGTGATTATAAAGGTAAGGATAATTTACAATGCATAACTATATGTTCTTGATATACCTTACGAAGCATAGATAAAAGAATTTTGGTATTAAATAAAAGAAATAGATAATTCTATTAAGATCTATGCAAATAAATGATGTTCCTTTCCTTTCATTTCAATGATTACAAAATATAAAATGTGCAGCATACTACTTGCTATTGTTATACTGTAATGTGTATATGCTATTGTCGTACAATATTTTTTAGTTCACTGTTTGAGTACAAGTAATACTAATCAGCAAATCATAATATCTGAATAAAAATGGAAATATGTTACAGATTTTATTCAATAATACATTGATTGTTATACAGTAAAAACATGCCTAAGTGAACACTTGTACAGAAATACCACATTTTCTATTTCATTTGAATAGTATTTCTCATAGACACGTATACTATAAAACAAACCTGTACATAAATATCACCCTGCCTATACAGACTGCATTTCTTGTCTGCCTGGAGTGGTCTTTATAAAGGTTTCACTGCAGTAAACTCAAAATATTAATGTCAACAGATATGTACTATACAAACAGCAACACAAGTTTCAATGTAGTTTTCATACCCATATGTCTAGTCTCCACTGCAGTCCTCTTGGCCTTGGCATCAATGTCGCTGACCTTTAAACTCGGCAAGCAGGTCATGTCTTCCTCTCTCTTCTGCTCTTCAGCCAATTCCAATCCTAATAAGATCAATCAAACAAAAATTCTTATCCAATGTTATTCATCACAACCTGAACTTTTGGAGCCATAAGGGTATTGTTCTGTTAAAGTATTACATATAATGCCCTTGAGGCTCCAAACAATGTAACCATAATTGGGGAAATTAAATGAGAGTGTTATTACATCAGCCAGTTATTAAGAAAATCCAGGATCAAATTCCAATTTTTTTTGTAAAGTTTTTGTTCAGCTACATGTATAGTTCAAGTATCTCATTTTCCCCTGTCTGAAGCACTATGGTTATAAAAAACATTTCCATCTCTTTCTCTCTCTTTTCTCGCTCCTCCGTCTCTTTCCCTCCATCTCTCTCTTTCTCTCTCTGTCTCTTTGTATATCTCTCTCTCTCTCTCTCTCTCTCTCTCTTTCTCTCTTTCTTCTCTCGCTTTCTCCCCCACCATTCCCCTCCTTCCCTTTTCTCCAAATTCATTATCATCACCATCATCGTCATCCTCGTCATCATCAACATCATCATATCCATTATCATCATCATTATCACCTTTTTTATCATCATCATCATCATCATCATCATCATCATCTTACCTCTCTCATACATATCGTCGCTGTTTTCACGAAGTGACGGTAGTGAAAAAAAATTGCATTCACTTTGCGTTACGATTTTCCTCACTACCGTCACTTCGTGTAAATAGGGACGATATCCTCATCGGCCTCTGTTAATCTGGCAACCATTCCATCAAGAATCTCTCTATCTCTCCCTCTCTCTTTTTCCTTTGTTTCATCCTCCCTTTCCATAACCCCTTTCCGTGGTTCAACATCATCATGATCATTATCTTACCTCTTTCATAGATATCCATCTTGTCAGTCTCTGTCAATTTGGCAACCATTCCATCCAGTTTCTCCTTCTCTTCTCTCTCCTGTTCCTCCACATAATCCTCCTGTGGCTTCATGGTAAGCCAAAGCTTGTGCTGGTTGTCCTGGAAATACTCTTTGACCTTTGACTGCAGGTAGTTGGGGTCAGCGGCCACCTTGGCTTTGAAGCTGTCAACAAGCTGAGTGATCTTCAAGTTGGTTGAGGGGTCATTGCCATGGTTCCAACTTGGCATTAAAGCCTAAGACACAACAGATAAATGTTTTTTACTTTCCCAACTTCAGAGAAGACACCCATAATCTTTTCATTTACACTATTAAAAAGTGTAAGTTATTAAATGTAACACTAATGAATGGTAGAATTAAACAAACAGTGACTTTAAAAATGTAAACTTCTCAAATAAATTTTGTTAGAACATACTCGTAGGCGAAAAATTATATTTCACATTTCATTCCCACACATTTTATTCGCCATTCAAGTTTATGTGCATTGATTAATTCTACAAATAACTAAAATTATTTTTCTATAATAAAACAAGCATTATTAGACTTAGGAAGACAAAAACACCATATGATCTCACAGAATGCCTTTGGGCTTCCAATGCACCGATCAAATTTTGTTTTCATGCAAAGGCAGATCACAGACTAACAATACAATATCTCCAACTGCATATTAATAATAATGATAATAATAATAATAGGCATTTCTAAAGCGCCCTCTATCTAGAAATTCAATTCCGAGGCGCATTTTATTATTACCCCGACTTTAGCCTAGATGCCATCGCTCCAGCATTTTAAGGAATCAATTCCTGCCAGGTGCCCATTTTTTACATCACCTGGGTTGAGTGTGGCAAATTAGTGCCGCAGCGGGACTCGAACCGCAGACCTTGTGATCGGCAGTCCGGCGACGTAGCCACTCGACCACGACACATTCAGGGGTAGAAGCATATCTTCCGTTACAGAGAAGTACTTACAGCAGCTACACCAAGTCCAAATTGAGTGGATTGATGTTTGTTAGAGAGCTCAATCTTGTGAAGGATGGCTTCAATCCTCTCAGGTTCAAACCCAGTCCTGGTCACAACAATAAAAGTAAATACTCACATTATATATAATCTATGTGTGCACCTTCTGGGGAAAAAACGGTCATGCTTATTAATTGTGTGAATATGACAGAATATGACAAATGACAACAGTCTTGAGCAAAAATTGATGCATACTCTGGACATAAACAAAGACACTTTGTTCAGTACATTCTTATTTTGCATTGCAAAAATAAAATATAAAGCAAATGTTCAGAAACCTAAAGACTTCTTTGAAGAGTGCCAAATGGTTAAAATAAGCTTCAGTATATCAAAACATGTGTCTCAATTTTTTCCTTGTCTATCCCTTTCTTCTACTTATAATGTATAACATGTATTTGTGTATTCTGGCATACCCAATACAAGCTATGCTTGCTGGGATTCGTGCCTTCTTCCTTATAATACAAGTTCTTAAATATGATCCTACGTATAAATTGTATTGTTTAAACAGATGTCAAATATGTTGTCAAATTGATTGGAAGAAAATGAATATCAATTTGAATGAATTGAATTGAATCTATCGAGGAGTTTATAAACTGTTAATTTGTTGAAGGTGGTTTCTTACCTGATGACTTTTGCTATGGTGTCTTCAATGATCTTTTTGACTCTGTCCACGTCCTCCTCAGCTAATCCTCGAAGGCCAATACTAAATGTTGAGTCTCTTGTTTGACTGCTGTACCTGATGGTATTCACACAGAAATATAAAGTGCTGTCAATACCTTCTTTTTTTTTCTGTGTCTTTTTTTTCTTCACATTTCACATAATAAACTATTGAGAATTACTTCAGATTCGACAAATATTGAATCAAATGTTGTATTAGTTTATATAAAGCAAATTGAGATAAATTAATACAAAATTGTTGATTTCTAAGTGTTATCTTTATCAATGCTGATTACCTTTTTTCTATACACTCTATCGTTGTAAAATCATCACATTTTGGATTCGCTACAATGATGTTTGTTTTTTATCAAGAAATAATCTTTCTATCTATCTACTTACAGAGAGTTACTGAAAAAATGCAATTTCAAAGCTCGAGATAAGCCTTTACTATTTCTTTATTACTGCTAACAATGGCAAACTTTTTTTTTTCTTTTCTTTTCCATCATTTATTAATTGAATAATATATACATAAAAAAAGAAAAATTATATTGATAACAAAGAAAAACACATGAATTATATAATACTTATATCACAAAATTGATTATACTCTTTGGGGGGGCAAACTTACCCAATACAAGGTGCATAATCAGAACCAATACCAGCTCCTATGAGAGAGTGATAGAAGGGTGCTGTTGGACCGTCCACCAGAAGAGAGCCAAGGATTTGACCAAACACCAACTCCTCTGCATCGGTCACACTGACAGGGAATGACAAAACAGTCACATTAGGAGATATTCTATTACTCATGAAAAATGATTCATTAAACTATAAAGCTTGAACAATCACAACAGAGGAACCATTACAAGATCCATGATTGCCACAAACATGAACACGTGAATGTATGGACACAACTATATCGTCTTCGCCGTCTTCACCATCATCATTATCATCACCTTCATCATCATCATTATCCTTATCATAACCATTATCATCAATATCATCATTAGAATACCATATAAGTATTATCCACCATTCGCCATCCATCTGATAATCGCATCACAAAGACATCTTGAAATGTAAAGATACATGTATCAATTTTAGGCTGAAGGTGTAGTATACATAATTTGAACAAAAAATGAAATATTTCATTAAATTTATAATATACATGTACATTCATGAACATGTGTACAACCCAAATTTAGTGCTGGTTTGTTGCTTACTCTTTGATGACATAGCTGGCTGCCAAGGTAGTCTGTTTGTTTGGATCAGGGGCCATAGGGTCCGGTGGGCAGTACATGGTATGCTCACGCTGTATGGGAAACATTGCCAAGGTAACGGGTCATTCTTAATGAGAAGAATCAGTCCTTGATGTGAACAATGTACTAACAATGAGAAATGTGCTTCACTACATCATATAGAGATGACTGACCCCGAACTATCACCATCACCCCCCCCCCCCAACATTTACCTGGGACAACTAAAGAACAAACACTGGTTTGATGGAATTCCTAATCAATACACAACAAACAAACAAAGTTAAAAGGAAAATCCGCAGGGAGACATTCCATTCCAGATTACTTGCAGCAAGGCTTATTTAAGTTCACATGGCAAGAAATCTTCTGGAGTCATTGGATGGTATGAATATTGCCTGTCATAAAACCAAACTGAAAATGCATTTGGAAAATGAATATATATTATTATTATCATTACATCATACCGGACTGGCCCATCTGCTTTCATTAGGTACTTCTGTATGAGGCTGGAGACGTTCAAAGTGGGATAATGCCTTCTCTTCAATCAACTCTAGATGGCGCTCTAGGGGAAGATCACCATAAGTATAGAACCTGCCATGAAAGTGTTGGAGACGATTAAGATTAACATCATTTTGCTTTAGAACTGAGGATTGAAATAGGGTTTGATACATTCACAATTTTCACATCGCTCATCAAATCAGGCCATATATAAAATGAGTTCTTCTGCTCTCTTCATGTACACTTTCATAAATCATTGCTTTTTCAAAATTCTATTAAAAAAGGGGCCAAAAATTTGTTTCCTGGCAGTATATTGGTATAATGGTCATTTACTTGCATCTCAGTCAAAAGGTGAACACTACATACATGTAAATACTCAAGACAAGGCATTTTTACAGCTGCCTCTCCCTACCCGGGTACATAGCAGGATTTATTCCTTGCAATGCACTGTGCACCCATAGCAGCTCCCAGGGCTTTTAAAAGCTATGGTAATAATATCCAAAACTCCTGCAGAAGCTCACAGGGATGTTATATTTTAAAATGTAATATGCATTATAAAAATGAAATTTAAAAAAATTAGCCTTATTTATATCATTGTGGGGACAAAAAACACAATTTCTTCTTACCTGGAGTTGCTTGGATGGTAATGTGAAGCATGAAACTGTTTGAGTTGGTCCCAGGTTAGATCGGGGATTCTGATTGGTTCACCTCCACTATTATGTGAATATGTATGAGATGGGAGGAGCTTACTCTGAAGACTGTGAGCAAACAGCTGGTCTGGACCGGACTAAAAATGGAAGAAATAAAAAACAAAGAAGTTTTTAAATGAATATCAAGAAAATTGATGATTGCCAATAATTTAATTACAAGTATGAACAAAAATTTCTAAAATTTAACAACTGCATGGAGGGTCAGTTATTCCCTGGTTGTCTTCTGAATATCATTCAAACTGTGAGCAGTAGATCCTTCTTTAAGCTATGAATACACATAACTTTTCTTTTCTTGTTTATATATATATGCTATGACTGATACAAATCTAGTGCAAATCCTCCAGTGACTGTACACTGCATTTTACCTTTGATTGATTGGATATTTATCTTATTCAGAGCATAGTTACAACTCTTCATAATTGACTTTAAAATTGATGAAAATGGCAAAGAAGATACATAAATCACATTTCACTCTTTAATTTCATACTTAAATTGATCTCAGTTAAGAGACATCCAACTTAGAGATGATGGGAATACCTTTGTTCACTTGCCTAATCTACATTTCAATCAATTTTTTAATCAATACAAAGATGCAACAAAAATTAAATAAAATAATTACCATGGCACCTTTCATCTCATTAAAGACAACTCCTTTGAAGGCAATGGGAGTAGATTGGTCTTCTGTCACCTCATTTTCTAAACGCCAACCCTCCTGCCTGAAATGAAAATGTAAGCTTGTTAATTAATCCCTGGTATAACCCATTGCCTACAGGAACCAAGTGGTCCCAGTAATAAGCCTATGGGAAGGAGAGCAAAAATAATATTTTACATGGACAGAATGTATAAAATTGACCTGAAAAACCCTCTCAAGGGACGTACAAAATCATGGTCACACATCCGCAGAATTCAGCTTTTTTGATAGTTCATTATTGAAGGAATAATATAATGGACTGCCATATTTAAGTCCAACTTAAAATCGATCTTAGTCTTTGTGAAACACTCCCCTGGAGTATGAAGAAAAGAATGGATAATATAAAATGGCGCACACAGAGACTGAGGTTACGTTAGTGTGCGTCCAACTAGTTTACTCAACTAGTCAGAGTATGATATTTATACCTCTTGCAAAAGTAAACTTTGAAGCTCATATATTTAAAAAAGTAAAAAGTTTTTTTTAAACTATTCTATCCAGCATTATGGTAAAAGATAGGTAAGCTGATATATTTATGTGTGAATAATTTTTAAAAACATCTCAATCTCAGATCATCATCATCATACAGTATTCCTCATCCTAATCTTTCACTCCCCTAAAACCTGATCACATCCCTAAACTAATCCAATATTTTTATGATGGAATGAAGCCTGAGTAATTGTTGGATCATTGCCTCATGCATCCATACACCTTTCTATATTGGTATTTAAAGTTTGTACGACACTTCCTCTCTTGATGGCATTGAACTAGGATTGTAAATGAGGGCTTACATGAAGTCCAGTTGCCTCAGTCTTGGGAAGAATACAGCATCGAGGTAGACAGAGAGAAGGTTTTCAAAATCCTTGCCATTTTGAGTTGAAAAGGGGTACATCGTGTAGTCACTGGCTGCAATGAGAAAAATTGATAATTTAATGGAAGATGTAATTTATTTGCCTTCTTTTGTAGTGCTTAAATCACCATCCTACATATTCATGGTGCTCAAGGTGCTCCAATATTACCCTAGCTCAAAACATTCCAGGTATTCAGTGTACTACACCAGGGTGGGAGAGTGACAAATGAGGATCTACATCTTGATAAATGACATCGGTACCAAGCGAGGTTTGAAACCCACAATCAAGTGTCTAAACTACTTGACTATGGGGGTTGCTATAAGAATTGTTCTGTATGACAGAACAATGAAACAGTACTGAGCACTGCACAGAAAACAAAACATACAGGTAAGCACAGGATCATTGCTAAAAAAATTGTTGCAGTTCTTGTTTCATGTGACAATATTGGTCTTCCTTTTAAGGACATCGGCAGAAGGGCAAATTCTACATGCCCCATGCCTCAAAAGATGGGACAATGAGGTGTGGTTACCACTAATACACTGTGTAAGAAACTCACAAGCCAACAACCTACAGGTTACATTGTATTTTTATGAACAAGAATTTCCAAAAACACATGTACACTATAGTATACTTTGAATATACGATGGTAAATATCATCACGTCTGTGGGAGTTGTTGCGGACCCGAGAGGGAGAGAGAGAGAGTGAGAGAGAGAGTGAGAGGAGGAGAGTGAGTGAGAGAGGGAGGGTGGGATTGAGAGTCGCTATACCCTAATATTCTAACCTGTCCATGCATTCATGAATGTAGAGAGTGATCTATTGAGCATCTTGAAGAATGGGTCCCTGACAGGGTAGTTCTGAGATCCACATAGGACTGTATGCTCCAGGATATGTGATACACCTGTGCTATCCATCGGGGTGGTCCTAAACCCAACACTGGCAGGAAGAAACAAGCAATGACAAACACAGTTATTTCAAGTCACAGCCCTATGTTGAAACAATTTAACCTACATGAATCAACTTCAATGAAGCATACCTGCCACCCTTTTACAGCAATATAAGGAATATCTCAAGTCAAAATCAGGAATAGAGTCTATTTTGTATACACTTTACACAGAGGTTATCAGAAAAAGAGAGGAATCTAGGTTCAAAACAGTAGCTTGAAGACCAAAAACTAGGACTACTTCCTCCAAAATAGGAATGGTTGGCAGCTATGGATGGAGTGGTACAGGTTACCCCTTGTTTCTCAACCAAAAATTTATGATGGATGACCAAAAGGAAAAAACCTAAACATAGAATATGCACTGTTTCCTAGATTAGTTTGAAATAGAGGCTACCATATATATATTATTTCTAATTACATTATTTCTAATTACATTTCAAAAGAAGAAAAGAAAGAGGCAAGTTTTACCTGAAAACATTATTGGTATCTTCTCTTGCCACATGGAGATACTGAGCACCAGTCTTATCGTGTCTGAGTTGAACCGCAGTCAGGTACAGTTCAGGAACCGGAACTACCTGGTAACAAACAACAAAGATTTGACCAACATCCGACACTGATTATGAACATTCTGATTATAGAGATATATTTAGAAAAGGTAAAGGGCAGCCAAGTTGAAGGGCTAGGCGCCATTATGTAAAGGGGCAAATAAATAATTACAGTGCTTATATAGCGCCTAACACTTACTTGGTCAGAAGTCTCTAAGCACTCTACAATAATGCAGCATAATTACCCTGGCTTTAGCAGTGCAGCTGTTACGCGCGCTGCGTTTCAAGGAATAAATTCCTACCAGGTACCCATTTACTTCACCTGGGTGGAGTGTGGCAAATGTAGATCAATGTCTTGCCAAAGGACATTAGTGCAGCGGCGGGACTCGAACCACAGACCTTGTGATCGACTTGGTGACGTATCCACTCGACCACAACACCTCTAATTACAGATCTGCCCTGCATACATGAAATATAAATTCATCCTCGAGGCATATCATTGGCACAGGCCTTAGGGCTTTTCAAAATGCCAGGTTCATGCATTGCATATATGGTTGCAACAACCGCAAAAGTTCATTTTGCACTGCCTTCTTTTAAATGCCACGTTTATTTTAAGAGGATTTTTATAGCTAAAAGATGCATAATTTGTAAACCTGGCCTGACTGAGTCTGAGGTCTAACTCTGATACTGAGAGAGAGTGTATTCAAACAGTAGTAGCACAGACAATCAAGATATTCAAAACTTGTGCTATGCAGCAGTCGGCAGTCTGGCTTTTTGTAAGATATATCTTTTTTATTCTGATTCAATATGATACACCCTCCTAATATTGGCATGCATTTCCTTCACTCTTACTTTGTAGAGGCAAAATAAAGCATACCGGTATACCAATAAACCTGCTTTGAAAAAACACAAAATCTCTTTAAAAAGATAGTGATCTTACGCCAATAGGCCATTTTCGTGATGTACAGTAATCAAATTGAATGCATAAGTCTTTGTTAAAGTGCCTCATTAGTCAATACAAATTATTTCATTCACCTGTTATGGATGAATATATTTCAATAATCAGAATGCAAATTACATTAATGGTTTCTAAGTAGTTCAAACATTATGGCTTGCCCTACCTAACAACACGTAATGTATGCAATTTGCATTCTGACTATTGAAATACAATTATTTGTAACAACACACTAAAAGTTTTATGCATTTATTTTGATTACATTAGGAAAATGGCTGATTCAAAACCATCAATTTGTATACATATATCCATTCCAAGTATTTTACTTTGAGAACTGCATCTTGTATTGCTGGAGAAAAGGATTCCAATATCTCAGTGACTTTTTCTCTTTCTTCTCATCATGCACTATGTTCATCTATAATCTACAGCATTCTACAGGTACATAAAAAGATGATGCAATCATAAAGATGGGGTAAAAGAGAGAAGATTGGAACTGTGACATACTTTCTCTACCGAGAAGCCATGGAGCCTGTCTCCTGGTTGGTATTGCTTCGCTCTCTCCTGGGCTTTACTCACAACAGCATAGCTTCTCCTCCACTCAGCACTGAAAATAGACAAGAAAACAATATTAGGATAGAGACAATGTTTGAAAATATGTCCACACTCTACTCTCTAGAACCATACACTAATTTCTTACAAATGTAATCAACTAATTGGCTAAAAGTTTGTGGAAGTAATATATAAAACTATATATCTGACACAGATGCTGGTCTGATTCTAGTAAATGAAGTAATGTTAATTATCTTATTTTATATATTTTGCTGTTTTCTCAGGGGAGCAACAAAACTGACTGACAAGGTGACTAAGAATAAGATTTATTTGGAAATTGTCTCTGTGGTTTTTGTTTACCAATAGCATTACATAAATATGCTTGACAGGTTTGAATAATTGACTCTCTATGCTTTGCTGGAGTGCCTAGACTCTACATGGTAACACTCCAGCAAAGCATAGCCATAGTCATAGAGAGTCAATGATAATGTGTTGACCACTAGCACTGCACTACATCATAGTACATGTTTAGAAAACTACATGGGGTATGGACTATGTTGCGTGTTAACTAGTAATCCCACATAATTCCCTTTTTTAATTAAACTACTAAAAAGCAGTATCCCTCCAGACAAGAAAACACTTAATAAATGATCACATCCAGACAAATTGATTATGGTTAAAAACTGGTTCTATATTCTATAATTTCACATAAGATACAATGATTACAGAATTATCAGAAACCTCTTCTGTCTATCTCAACAGTGACAGACAATTAAACTATCACTAGGCCCTTGGTAGTTGCTATTAATAATCAAACATAGATAACTTCCAACAGCACATTAATGTAAAGGAGACTCAACTTAGTCACTATGGTATTAATGATTACCGCTGAATACAAGTCTCGAAATATCAGGAGTCTAGCTGTTCAGTACAACTTAAAACAGTACTAAAACAAGTCAGTTAAATATCATTCACACTGCATGAATAATAACAGTCAAGAAAATACTACTCAAATCTAAGCTAGACAGCGTTTAGATTTACTTACATAGGCACGAAATATTGTGGTTCAAGAAACCGCTAAACAAATCTCTACTTGTGTATGTGTACGGAATGCACAACACGAGAATACAACAATATATCGGTGGATCTAGACTATAGCAGATCTAGATCAGTAGACCAGGCATAGGCCTAGAACTAGTGCAATTATAAACATGTAAAATATGTGTTAGTAAGCGTACGCACTCAACAACAGGCACTCAGTCAGTCAAAATAAGGCCTCACAATGATAAACAATGCAAAGCATAAATCACAATATAATTAACGTTACGTGAGTCATTGGAGTTGAATTCAAAGTAGATCTTCTTCAAGTTCTACTTCTAGGTAGATGTAGAAACTAGCTAGTCGAGAACAGTGGTCGACGAGCTGGTTGTCGATCGCGTAGGATATGCAGACGATGATCGACGCTAGGTGAATACCACGATGATGAAGACGATGTTGAAGACAACGATGATGACAACAATGATGAAGACGACGCTGGTGAAGACAGCGATGATGAAGTCGACGATGAAGACGACACTGGTGAAGACAGCGATGATGAATCAGTTAACAGATGAATACAATGATGATGCAGTCAATGTCAATAGATCAACTTCAGTGACTTGCGATGCAGGTCGAAGAATCAAATGTCGAGACAATATATATGAAGTCGATGATAAAAGGTTGTCAAACAATAATGCAGGTGAGAAAAAACGTTAGATCATATTAAATGTTCTATTCTCACTGCTGGTGAATTAAAGTGTCGTCAATGTTGAACATCGAGAGAGTCAAAATATATCTTGCAAAACGTACAAGATGTAAATAGGTGAGCACGTCCACCGGGAATGGTCCGGGGACGTAGCAGTTCAATCCTCGTTGGATACAATTTTCTAGGTACAAATATCAACACAATAACAGCATGTGTGTATACCAATATTAAAACAGCTCACTGATTCCCGCACAGGAAAATCAGAAGAGCGCCAATCAACTACAGCGCGATTGGTTCAAAACACGCGCACATGTATGTTAATTAAGCACGTGATCTAAATACTTATGAATAAATACGCGTACATCTATGTTAATTGGTCATGTGATCAAAATACTAATGAATAAACATCGTTATATAATAAATCGAGTTAAAACCAGTTCTGAGGACATGGCATAATACCAAATCCTCGAACTCTCAATGACTTCTAAAGCGGCCATTTTGGATTAAAAACACAATATGTATACCAGTGAATTATAAATGAATGCACTGTAACATTTGTCGCTACATTAACCCCCCTACTAGACCCGAGCTTGCGTAAGCTCCGAGGGGCGAAAATACACAATTAAAAATATAAAGGAAACATATGTACAAAATACATTAATATACATGAAAATAACCACTATTTATGCGACACGTTCAATGTAGTGAACCTGAACGTACCTTTGCGGCCAGTGGACGTGGCGGCCTGAACGTGTGACACGCGCAGCAGGTTGCGATTTCACCAGAGCAGGAGCAGGCGTAGGAGCAGGTGCAGGAGCAGGCGCAGAGGTTGCGCGAAGTGCTGTGCGCAGAGGGGAGGAGACAGTAGGCTCTCCCTCTAGAGGTACGTCAGCCGCGGTAGTCCTAGCCGAAACGCTTTCCAAAAATGCGGGTTTCAGTCGATCAATGCTTACAGAAACATGCTTGCCCTTTTGCTCAATAACGAAAAACTTCGGGTTTCGTTTGAGAACCTTGAACGGACCCAAATACGGAGGCTGTAATGGCTTACGGACAGCATCGATACGCAAGAAAATATGCGTACAAGTATCGAGAGACCTATGTACAAAACTGGTCTGTGGTGACCTACGTGTCGCTGTAGGCGCTAAAACAGACATATGGTCCTTCAAGCGTTGGACGTAGTCCGCGGGGTCAACAGTATCGTGTCGCGTAGGCACTATCAGCTGGCCTGGAAGACGCAACGCCGTCCCGTAGACTAGTTCGGCAGCGGAAGCTCCGATGTCTTCCTTAATAGCTGCGCGGATACCCAACATGACCAAAGGAAGGTATTCTTGCCAACGGTTCGGCTCGGGTTGAGATTTGAGAGAGGCTTTAAGTTGCCGATGGAACCGTTCCACCATACCGTTGGCCTGCGGGTGGTAGGCCGTGGTGGCTATGGTCCGACAAACTAGCAAATTAGCTAATGCAGTGAAAAGCGCAGATTGAAACTGACGACCTCGATCATGCGTAATCGTGGCTGGAGCTCCAAAGCGAGCTACCCAGTTCTCCACTAGAGCTATGGCTACTGTCTCGGCAGTGGCATCCGCTATCGGGATCGCTTCGGGCCAACGGGTGAACCTGTCGATACACGTCAGCAGATAAATGTGCCCTTTCGAGGGCGGTAGTGGCCCAACAAGATCAATATGAACGTGTGCAAAACGGGCATCGGGGTTGGCAAAAGTGCCAAGCGGTGAGTGCGTATGACGTTGGATCTTTGCGCGCTGACATGGGATGCAAGTACGCGCCCATGTACAAATGTCCTTGTTCATACCCCGCCACACAAAACGGGCCGCTATAAGCTTTTGCGAAGCTTTAATGCCCGGATGCGCGAGATTGTGCAGATTGTCAAACAACGATCGACGGTGCGCTACCGATACATACGGCCGCGGATGCCCTGTGGACATGTCGCACCAAATGTGCGCGTCCCCTTCCGGAAGGAGGACCTTCTCAAATTTGAGCGAGGTTGACGTGTCTGAGCGCAGAGCAGCGAGCTCAACGTCATCGACTTGGTCGGTCGCGACTACACGCAGGTTAATCGAGTTCGGTAATTGCACTGAGTCAATCTCGGTGCGAGAAAGTGCATCAGCTACCTGATTATCAACGCCTCGAATATGGCGTATGTCGGAGGTAAACTGTGACACGTAATCGAGTTGCCGCGCTTCCCTAGGGGAATGTCGATCGGGCGATGTCTTGAGTGCGAAGGTAAGAGGCTTGTGGTCTGTAAAAACAAAAAAATCACGCCCCTCTAAGAAGTATCGGAAATGGCGTATTCCGAGGTAAATGGCTAGCAGCTCTCGACCAAAGGTACTATACCTAGTCTCGGGAGGCTTGAGGCGGCGAGAAAAGAACGCAAGCGGTCGCCACTCCCCTTCATGGAGTTGCTGTAACACACCACCTACGGCGAGATCGGAAGCGTCTACCGCGAGGCATGTAGGTAGCTCAACAGACGGGTATGTAAGCATCGTGACGTTCGCGAGGTCCTCTTTGACAGCCGCGAAAGCAGAGTCGCACACAGGGGACCAATCTAACGCCTTTCGAGAGCGCTTAGGTTGCTTGCGCAGCAAATCAGTCAAGGCGGCCAGCGAGGATGCGCACTTAGGCATAAATCGGCGGTAAAAATTAACCATGCCTAAGAACCGGCGCAGCTGGCGTAGCGAGGTAGGGCGCGGAAATTTGCGAATTACCGCGACCTTGTCATCCATCGGGGAGACGCCCTGGGCAGTCACATGGTGCCCTAGAAAGTCTAGTGCTTCGACTCCAAACTGGCATTTGTCAGGATGCACTACTACTCCATAATCACGGAGGCTTGTGAACAGCTGGCGCAAATGAGTCTCGTGCTGTTCGGGATTCTCGCTGGCAACAAGAATATCATCAAGATACACGAATACAAATGGCAGGTCACGGACGACCCTATCAATAAACCTTTGAAAGGTTTGCGCCGCGTTGCGTAGTCCGAATGGCATGCGTCGGAAATGGAATAACCCAAAAGGGGTTGTCAGCGCGGTCTTCTTCACATCATCAGGGTGTACGGGGATCTGATGATATGCGCGCACTAAGTCAACTTTGGAAAATACGCACTTGTCTCGCAACTGTGCGGCAAAGTCGTGAAGGTGCGGAATGGGATAGCGATCCGGGACGGTCACGCGATTAAGAGCGCGGTAATCGCCACATGGTCGCCAACCGCCTGACTTCTTTGGCACCATGTGGAGCGGCGACGCCCATGAACTGTCTGAGGGCTCGACAATGCCCAAATCGAGTAACCGGCCAAACTCGTCTTTAGCGATCTTGTGTTTGTCCGGCGCTAAGCGTCGAGGTCGTGCCGAAACTGGTGGGCCGGTTGTGAGTATTCTATGTGTGACGTCATGTTTCAACGGACAGTTCTTAAACATGGGCCGAGTTACTTCCGTGAACTCGGCAAGTAAGCGTTTGTAGACAGAATCGGAGTCTACTTGCACTATTGTGAGATTCAGCGACGGTAAGTCGGAGGCGATGCCATGTACGGACAGACTAGTGGTGGCATCCCAAAGTCGGTTGGTGCGCAAATCCACTAGTAAGCCGTAATGCCTCAAAAAAATCTGCGCCGAGGATAGGCTGCGAAACATCGGCCAATATGAATGACCACTTAAACGAACGCCGCAGCCCAATACACACTGTGAGCTCACGCTGCCCATATGTGCATATGCGCGTCTTGTTTGCAGCCTGCAAAACGAGTGGCATAAGGTGCCTCTTATCAGCGGTGTTGGGAGGAATTACGCTTACCGCGGCACCCGTATCGACCAAAAATCGTGTCCCAGAATCTCTATCTGTGACATAGAACAAGCGACCGTCACGAAGAGGGCCAGTGAGGCTTGTCGCGCCCACCTCCTGGCCTAGTTGTTTTCCGCCGGCTTGCTATATGTGCATGGTGGGCGGCACTGGTGAGCCTTCTCACCCCACTTCTCATGATACCAGCACAATTCTGAAGTGCTCGCTGATTTACTACCGGATGAGTCGCGCTTACGGTTACTGCTCATGCTGCGGCTTCGGCTTCGGCTCCGCATGCGACCGACAGTGGCAGTCAGCTCCTTCACCATTTTCGTGAGCTCAAGGACTTGGTGTTGAAGATCGGGGTTAGAGTTAGATACAGCTGCGACTGTGGCGCTGGGTGCTGAAATTCCAGTGACGGGAATTGACGCTTCTAGAATTTTATCGGCTAAATTGGCCAACTCAGAAAGCGGAAGCGCGTCGCTCGATGATGCCAGAATGAGGCGGACATTCTGTGGCAGGCGCTGCAGAAACAATTCCCGCAAAATCCCCTTCTCTAGCTGCTGCATGCCTAGCAGCTGCTGCATGCGCCTCAGAAGTTGACTAGGTTTTCGGTCGCCTAATTCCTCTTCATTCAATAACATCTGAACTCGGCGCTGTTCAGAGGAGGTCATTCGCGATATGAGCAGGGCACGCAGCTCAGTATAAGGCTTGATCGGGGGTGGACTAATCAATATGTCGCGGATCTCGAGCGCAACATCCGACGGCAATGTCGCTATAATATAGGCATATTTGGTCTGCTCGCTGGTTATGCCTCTAGTCTCAAACTGAGCAGAGGCTTGGGCAAACCATACCTCCGGGTCTCCCCTCCAAAAAGGGGGGAGCTTAATGCTGACTGCGCCGACGCCTTGGGTGGCCTGTACGCTAGCCCCGGCCGCGGCTCCCGCCTGCTCATGCTCCGGCGGAGGGCCCTCCTCGGCAGTATTTGGTGCGGGCATGACGACGCGCCACGTCCACTGTTCACAAATCTAAATTCAGTGTATCAGTAAGAAATGTGATTACCTAATGGTAAAAAAAAAATATTAATAAGCAAAGGTAATCTAACTAAATGTTTCTTATCTCAGGGGGATCACGTCGGGGTCACCAATTTAGAAAACTACATGGGGTATGGACTATGTTGCGTGTTAACTAGTAATCCCACATAATTCCCTTTTTTAATTAAACTACTAAAAAGCAGTATCCCTCCAGACAAGAAAACACTTAATAAATGATCACATCCAGACAAATTGATTATGGTTAAAAACTGGTTCTATATTCTATAATTTCACATAAGATACAATGATTACAGAATTATCAGAAACCTCTTCTGTCTATCTCAACAGTGACAGACAATTAAACTATCACTAGGCCCTTGGTAGTTGCTATTAATAATCAAACATAGATAACTTCCAACAGCACATTAATGTAAAGGAGACTCAACTTAGTCACTATGGTATTAATGATTACCGCTGAATACAAGTCTCGAAATATCAGGAGTCTAGCTGTTCAGTACAACTTAAAACAGTACTAAAACAAGTCAGTTAAATATCATTCACACTGCATGAATAATAACAGTCAAGAAAATACTACTCAAATCTAAGCTAGACAGCGTTTAGATTTACTTACATAGGCACGAAATATTGTGGTTCAAGAAACCGCTAAACAAATCTCTACTTGTGTATGTGTACGGAATGCACAACACGAGAATACAACAATATATCGGTGGATCTAGACTATAGCAGATCTAGATCAGTAGACCAGGCATAGGCCTAGAACTAGTGCAATTATAAACATGTAAAATATGTGTTAGTAAGCGTACGCACTCAACAACAGGCACTCAGTCAGTCAAAATAAGGCCTCACAATGATAAACAATGCAAAGCATAAATCACAATATAATTAACGTTACGTGAGTCATTGGAGTTGAATTCAAAGTAGATCTTCTTCAAGTTCTACTTCTAGGTAGATGTAGAAACTAGCTAGTCGAGAACAGTGGTCGACGAGCTGGTTGTCGATCGCGTAGGATATGCAGACGATGATCGACGCTAGGTGAATACCACGATGATGAAGACGATGTTGAAGACAACGATGATGACAACAATGATGAAGACGACGCTGGTGAAGACAGCGATGATGAAGTCGACGATGAAGACGACACTGGTGAAGACAGCGATGATGAATCAGTTAACAGATGAATACAATGATGATGCAGTCAATGTCAATAGATCAACTTCAGTGACTTGCGATGCAGGTCGAAGAATCAAATGTCGAGACAATATATATGAAGTCGATGATAAAAGGTTGTCAAACAATAATGCAGGTGAGAAAAAACGTTAGATCATATTAAATGTTCTATTCTCACTGCTGGTGAATTAAAGTGTCGTCAATGTTGAACATCGAGAGAGTCAAAATATATCTTGCAAAACGTACAAGATGTAAATAGGTGAGCACGTCCACCGGGAATGGTCCGGGGACGTAGCAGTTCAATCCTCGTTGGATACAATTTTCTAGGTACAAATATCAACACAATAACAGCATGTGTGTATACCAATATTAAAACAGCTCACTGATTCCCGCACAGGAAAATCAGAAGAGCGCCAATCAACTACAGCGCGATTGGTTCAAAACACGCGCACATGTATGTTAATTAAGCACGTGATCTAAATACTTATGAATAAATACGCGTACATCTATGTTAATTGGTCATGTGATCAAAATACTAATGAATAAACATCGTTATATAATAAATCGAGTTAAAACCAGTTCTGAGGACATGGCATAATACCAAATCCTCGAACTCTCAATGACTTCTAAAGCGGCCATTTTGGATTAAAAACACAATATGTATACCAGTGAATTATAAATGAATGCACTGTAACATTTGTCGCTACACATGTACTGTTAATAGGCAGAATTGCACTCATGAATAGTCCATAGTCTATACACACATAACACACAAATGCATGTAATAAAGACGATGTGGCTGATCAGCAAATTTGACAGTAGACTCACAATTTGAATTTTTAAACTAGATCTATTCTTTCTAGACCTAACATCGGTAAATTTGAAAAATTTGTATTTTACTGCTTAGTATTTGTAATTTGGGTGTCATCAAGAACTAGGCCTAAAGTAAAGTAGACCTAGATCTACCGATTTTGAGTGAAAGCAGTTGAGTTTTGTACAGTGGTGTTTGAAATGTTGAGAATCAATAGCACAGCTTTTAATACACAGCCAGGATAGTAATGCAGCTATGGGTGAATGATAATGTCAATGCTACAAATAGACCTACAATGCAATCTACAATGTGAAATAAAGGGCGAACACAAATTACAGCGAGTGGGACTGGACTAGATTTTTGACGCTTCTCATTTTTTTAGCCAGAATTCTAGTTAGTTCAATGAAAATGAAGAAATGAGCGTTACCTCAAACGTCGTTTTAGTACACAACGTGACCACGATGATGAAATGGCAGCTCGCAACATCTTTTACCGAAATTTCCTCGGAGTTCTACTTCTACTGGAATCAATTTTCTCATCATCCAGGCCGAGACGATGGAGACGATAGCACATGCAACGATGCCGTATTATTACGCAACTCGCTGGGTACCAACTCGCTGGGGCGATGCGCGGCGCACAGAGCTACCGTGATCTAGGGGCCGGTGGTCTGATGTCATCGGTATGCCCGGTGTGGGTCTCATAAGATCCTCATGATAAATTGTTGATTTTAAAACGATGGAGGTGTGTCCGCGTTTGGGAGGTGTCTATTTGCATTGGCGTATATCGAGGGGGGTGAAAATAAGTGCCACCCCCCCCCCCCCCCCCCCGCTTCACCGCGGATGGCTGTTTCGCCGCTATATATTTTCTCACGAAATTGAGAGAAGAAACAAAATAAAATCAGGGAGGTGAGACTGCCTGATAAAATTGTGCTCATATATAAGGCGGCCCCAGGTTGCTCATCCAACTTAGATTCTGGGGTAGCTACGCCCCCTTTACCCGGCCACTCCAATTAGTTACCTGCATATCAGTGACACAAATATGGTATCAAAATATGCTCGATCATCCGACCGTAATTAAATGCCTAAAACCAGAGGCGGCCCTCCCGGGGGGCAGGGGGCACAGTGCCCCCCTACTTTTTCAAGCACCCGAAAAGTGCCCCTTTTAACATATGAATAGTGCCCCTTTTACTTAGACAAGTGCCCCTATTAATTTTTAAAAAGTGCCTCTTCACCTTTTCAACTCTGATAAGTGCCCCTTTTATTTGGACACGTGCCCCTTTTCCTTCGACAAGACTAGTTCCCTGTTTTCCTTTGCAATAAGGGTTAGTGTCCAATTTCCATTCTCATAAGTGCCCTTTTCAATCTCTAGTATAATTAGTGCCCCTTTTCAGGTGCGAGAAGTGCCTCTTTTCACTTTTGATTAGTGCCCCCTTCACCTCTGATAATTGCCCTATTCAAATCTGAGAGGTGCCTCTTTTTCTTTGACAAGTGTCCCTTTTCCTTTGTGATCAGTGCCCCTACTCCTTTTAATAACTACCCCCATTTTAACTCGGATAAGCGCACCTTATATTTTCACATGTGCCCGGCTTTTAATTTCTAATAAATGCCTCTTTTCCTAATGACAAGTGTCCCATTAAAAAAGAGTCCCTTCCCCTTCTCATAAGTGCCCCTCCTCTGGTAAATGACCTTTTTCAGGTACGAGAAGTTACTCATTTCCACTTCAGATAAGTGCCCCCTTAACCTCCAATAAATGCCCCTTTAAAATCTGATCGGTGTCCATTTTCTTTAAACCACTGCCCCTTTTCCTTTCTATTAAGTTCCCCTTTTCCTAATGATAAGTGCCCCATTAAAAAGAGCCCCTTCCCATAAGTGCCCCTTCTCTGGTAAATGACCCTTTTCAGGTACGAGAAAATACTCCTTTTCACTTCAGATTACTGCCCCGATAACCTCCGATAAATGCCCCTTTAAAATCTGATCGGTGCCAATTTTCTTTCAACTAATGCACATTTTCCTTTATTATAAGTGCCACTTTTCATATCAGGTCATTGTCCCTTATCAGGTGCAATAAGTTCCTCTTCTCAACTCTGATAATTTTCCTTTTAACAATGATACGTGCCCCTTTTTCTTTCTAATAAGGGACCTGTCCCATCTTTTCACCTCCTATAAATGCCCCTATCAAAATCTGATGGGGGCCCCCTTTCCGTCGACAAATGCCCATTTCCTATTGTCATGACTGACTTAGTTCATCCCTGGTTGAGTGCCTCTTTTTGAAGGTCTAAGAAGTGCCCCATTTTCACCTCTGATAATTACTCTTTGTACTTTGGCAAATGCTCCTTTTCTTTTCTGATAAGTGTCCCCTTTTCCTCTCATCATTAAACGCGCCCCAAATTTCAAGCGACTAAGAGCAATTTCTACCAAAGCTCTATCCAGTCTTCCATTATGAGAATGTGCTCTTTCTCTCTGCGATCTCACAAATATTTAAAATTTTCCTTGCTCGCTTCGCTCGCTTGCAAATGATTTTCCAGACCATTACACCCGACTGCAATGCATGATGCTTAAGCAATATCTTGTATGGTGTATAAAGTGAAACAAATATTGAAATCATCCCTGATAATGTAATCACAATATAGGGTTATATACCTATGTCTAAAAGATTGAATATTTTCGCTTTGAGATTTCCCTTTGTAGGTGCCCTTTTTTCCAGAAAGTGCCCCTTTTTCTTGGTGCCTCCCCCCCCCCCCCCCCCCACTTTCGAAGTCGCTCGGCCGCCCCTGCCTAAAACCCCTGAGCTTCAGGGGGATCCGCCCCCTGGAAACCCTACCAGGGGCCGTATAAGGCGAACCCCCGGATGCTCATCTGACCGTTATTGCATGCCTAAAACCCCTGAGCTTCATGGGGCTATGCCCCTGGACCCAACGCCAATTTACACTCCACTTGCTTCGCTCGCTTTGCTCTAAACCTGATCGTAAATACTTCCCCCCCCCCCCCTACTTTTTGAAAAACGTTCCGCGGGACTTGCATGTAATATGTCATTCCTGGTTATTGTTATCTTTACTCTTACACTCAATTATCTATGTTACACTATAACTTTGAAATTTGTTATTCAATGTATAAACAAAATTGAGCATGATCCTATCTGTTTGGATTGAAATCAATAAAGTTTGAATTGAATTGTAACATGGAAAAGTGGGGGTGATGCGGATTTTTTTCTGCCCCCCCCCCCCATCATTTTGTTTTATCATTACGCCACTGATCCCTGGTCCCTCGCATTTCATCCCCCCCCCCCCCCCCCCCGGTCATGAAAAGAAATCGCCGCCCCTAATTCACAAGGTGAAGGGTAATGTAGGCCTATATCCCTACCAGTAAGAAAGTTGAACGCTACATAAATGAACGGGCAAGTAATTGAACGGGCATAATTGAACGGGTAAGAACGAGATAAGCTCGATACCATTAGTGATCACTCAATACTTTTGTGTTTCGTCCACAATCCTTCTTTTAATCAACTTGTAACACTCTGTTGGCGTTCTTCTCTCTTACGTGGCTTTCCGTGCATCCTGGATTTGGCACTTTATAACTGCAAAACGTTAACGACAGAAGGAGAGGGAAGAAGTAAAAGAGAAGCAGAAAACTTCTTATCATTGAGGGAAAATGCCAATCATTGAGTTAATCTCAAACGTTTCATCTGATTCGTTACCGGATGGACTCATGGAAAGAACAGCGAATTTCACAGCAGAAAAGCTTGGTACACCATCAAAAGTAAGTCGAGCTGTAATATTAATTTCGAGATATTAAAAAGTAGCACAAAGATTATATTTGGTTTACTTGAATTATTTATAAAGCTAAAAATATCATTTTTTATACTAAAGGAACGAATGAGAAATGTTGCGATTAATTCTCTATGTATATGCAAAATGTTTCTTTGTCACTTTTTAAAATGTCAAATGTTTTCCTTATCAAAGGTGAAACAACTCAACAGACTTAATTTGATGTAATATCAATCGTCTGTAAAATCTATAGGAGGTAACTATTGACGGGATTAGTGGGTATGTAAACATATATAAGAAAAACGGAAGCAAAGACAATCTTATTAAATGAAATGAGGCGAATGTTTAAAGTGTCTTGATATCCATGTTAACGTCTAGCGTTAACAGGCCTCGTTCTCAGGCCTACTTACATCATTGATTACGAATATCTAGTCATTCATATTACGTCATTGTCGATCAAAATACTATTCAAAATCCATGTAGCTCAATGGTAATGGTGAACGAAAAAGGAAATAAAGGGAGAATAATCTATTTCTATTGCAATGATCTTATCTTATACGATCTAACGTAATATAGCGTTGACATGCCTCGTTCTCAGTATTGTACTTTAACTGGCGGATGGGGGGGGGGGGGGGGGGGGAGGCTTTAATAAGGAGCCCTCCCTGGAAACCTAATATGCATACTTTGAGTACATAATTATGACCAATATTTGCCCCCCCCCCCCCCCCCATGATGACCCCCTTTTTGCTTGTCATAAAACTGTAGGAATATTTTGCCCACTCTTTACAAAATCCTGGATCCGTGCCTGGTCTCTTTATTACTGAAATACCAAGTGTTTCATAGATAATTATATTATATAAAGCAGCATAATTATGAGGACAACAAATCTTATTATTAGGACTTTTAATGAGGAATTCGCACACACAATTGGCAGTTTATAAAACGTATTATAGAGGAATAAGACTATGTTCCATGTACTGTATTATATTTCCTGTTGTAGAAGTTATTAGACTGCATATAGCGATTTGCAATAAAGACAACAGTCAACAGTTATTTCCAGAGTTTGTTATAGTGCATTATACCCTTCTGATGACGTCACGTATTACGTATGACGCAAATTAATTACAATAGAAACGACAAAACATAAGTCAGGTGCAGTCATAAGACAGGGATAATATCAAATTCCAAAAACAGAGGTAACATTACTATTTGTTAAGTCACAAATATGTTAGTCACTCATTATGCCATACTTCTGTAATATTGAACAAGTTTGATCAAAAAATAGTTTACCAAGATCGCAAAGGCTTTCGAGAAAGAGTTAACACCCTTTTGTTATACCCCCATCAGTGGTAATCATGTCCGGATAATACTCCATTGTAATGTTCGCACATTTCAATAGGTGACAAGGCTATTTCAATATTGCAACCACAACAGGCAGTTAGGTTTCAATTTGAAATAGAAATACAAACAGATAGATAACAGTGGTAGAAATAATTTACACAAAGTCAATGAAACTGTAGTATCTGAAGAATAATCATATTAATAACAATGTGCTACAATCGAAATAATTGCACATTATCAAATGAAAACAACTTAAATTGTTAGCTCATGAGTTGGCTATTAAAAGACTCTACCATTGTGTTGTTCGTTCTCTTGGCATACAGGCAGTGGTTGTGATGATCAAACATGCAGTCATGTTTAGGTTTAGCAGTGATGAGCCTTGTATGCTAATCAAACTAGAGTGCGTCGACGCCTTCAATGACCAGGAGAAGAACAGAAAGTATAGCAAAGAGTTCATCGACTATGCGGCAGCAGAGTTTAGTATACCAGCACAGAGGTTTGTACAAATAATTTCCCTTTTTATCTTTTATTTTTCTCTCTTTTATTAAAATCCCAAACTATAAATTGGCCATGTGTAATTTCGAGGGGCGGCTGAAATTGTTGCATTTTAGAAAGAAATCCCATCCTTCCAGTGGCAAATTTGGGGTCTAATCATCGAGAGGGGCGCTGACATCATGAAGAGGGGGAGGGGCAGTTTTATTAGGTGAATGAATGAAATTAACAAGGCTACCTGTTAAGGGGCATATGATATTTGTTCCTATCAATGCATTTCCTTGCCTCCCCTCCTGTTTTTCGTTCCTCTCTTCCTCTCCCCTATGTGATGGGGCGTGCCCCCGTGCTCCTCGTAGCTAAGCTACAGCAAGATTCACAAAATTATATTCCGGAAAATCTCGGGATTGTCAGTTAGTGGGGGGGGGGCATACGTTTGAAGAAAAAAATTAAGTCTATGATCAATAGCGAGCAAAAAAATAACTGTGTGTTTCTGAGGTGGGGAGGGGGTCCGTATGGGAATCTGCCTGTGCTCAGTTGAAAATAATTGTTATACCTTAAAGGTAATACAAAGTTTTGTTATGTGGTCATGAATTTGGTTCAAATGAATAAACATATTGAAAGCATATGCGATTTTACAATATTCAATGATCGTTGTCGCGGTTGGAATCGAGTCTAAAGTGATAACATTGTAAATATTAAACGGACTACAATCGACCGATTTGCTTTTCCCGTTCGGAAATTATATTTCAGAGCTGCATATTCTGAAATTGTCATGGTCGCAGCTACCATAAAATGGCCTTAGGCGCTATACGAAATATTTGAAATTTACCGGTAAATTTGTATTATTCAAATTTCTCGAAAGCAGAAGTGTTTAGGGGCTCAATTTTCTAGTGCTTATAATACATCGACAGGGGCATCCCAAATATATCAACATTTTAAAGAATTATTATTCATTCAATTTTCTAAATTTCCCAAAACTTTGCATTACCTTTAGTTGCTCTAAGTGAATTTCATGTCTACCCGTATACATTATTTCGGCTAAAATCTTACAGGCTGATCATTTCCTGTAACTTAAGCTCATATTCTCACACAAACCTAAAGATGTTCCATTACGTATACAATGTCACTTCAATCCTCTACGGATTGAGTTATTTTATTGAAGCGTTATCTCTTTTCCTCTAAAAGCGGATGCATATTGATGCCATAAAGATTCTAATCGCAGTCTGGGGTTTTGCTCTTAAAGTTTTTTAGGCATAGATTTTATTGGTGTTATTAATGTACATTTGGATTAAAAGTAGGCCACTAGTGTTGAGTATGTTCAAATATGTTACATTGTCGTCGTATAGCGTTTTTACGGAGGATGATTTGTAAATTAGACAATTTGAGCTACACACATACGAGGCAGGAGGTTCTAGTATGAAAAAGTCATGTATTTTTTTTCAAACAATATGCAGCATTCCGACAAGAGATATATAATCGATCAGACTTTGAGTTTCCAAACATTTTTGAGGGGTTTGATTTACCTTAACTTGGTCATTATTGTACATTATGTACAACCGTACAAGTAGTTAATTTCTTGGTATTCTTGTGAGTCATATTTTATCCTTTTCTATTTTCATTTTTGTGGTTATACACAGGATCAACCTTATGATGGAAAACCAATCAATTTGGCAGATTGGTTTACCAGACGGCCGTCTCCTTGGGGACAGAATGAAAGGCGGGAAATAACAGTGGAATGTCTTAGATGAGAGGATAATACTGCCTCTTGTCTGGAGATCGAAGAGAAAAGGTGTCATTAAAACCAAAAGCTGTAAAAGATATTATTCTATTATTCCTATCTAAAAACTCCCCCCCCCCCCCCCCGTCCCCGCCCCCAACAAAAAACAAAAAACAAAACAAAAACTAAATTTAAAGTTGATTTCAGTGTTTCTATGATCATAAGAATCTGCAATTTAAGAGGGAATATCCTATTACCACTGACCGAGACCCAATCACACCCCCCCCCCCCCACCAAAGAGAAAATAAACACATTTATCTCAAAAGGAAATGCGTTGCAATTTTATGACCATTTCAATAAAGTCATACAAGACGCGAAATCATTATCCGAACATTTTGTAAAGGTATAATCGGCTGCATACCTATGTTGAATACTTGTATAATACATGACTTAGTCCACGGCTTTTCCATCCTTTTTTTTTTGTCCGATACATATTAACCATTTATAACGGATAAATACAATTTTTAAAAGTGTAATAAATTATCCTTCATAGTAAAAGTGTATAGAGAGAGAGAGAGAGAGAGAGAGAGAGAGAGAGAGAGAGAGAGAGAGAGAGATGGGGAGTATTGATATAGGACCAAGCTCAGCCAATATGACGTTTTCGCTTCGAAATGTAGAGCACGTTACATGGGCAAACATGCACTTTGTGTAAGATATACATATTGATGTCTATTTAATATCGGATTAGATTTGTGAAAGTATATCACAGCAACATAAATGCACTTTGTGTAAGATATACATATTGATGTCTATTTAATATCGGATTAGATTTGTGAAAGTATATCACAGCAACATAAATGCACTTTGTGTAAGATATACATATTGATGTCTATATTATCACTGTATGCTTGAAAGCTTTTAATCATGTCATATTTTAGTTAATCAAATGCAATCTCTTATCTTGCACATCCAAACCAATAATTTGTTGTGCGTCTAGCTCGTAGTATCTTACGTAGAATAAACAATTATTATTTCTCTCCTTGGTGCCGATTTCTGTTTGTAATCTTAACGTTATATTTAAAATGAAAGTACAGAATGGTATAATAATAATATTATGTGTGATGCGTAGCAACAAACTGCATACAAAGAAGAAATGGGTGAACTCTCCCTATATATGTTTGACTTCATGCGTATGGCTTCATGAAAAGTGAACGCCAATCAAGCATGAAATCAATTGCACGAGAGATTCCCCTCAATTTTCAAGCTGCTGCCAAATTGCTATTATACTGAGGAGCGTGAATAAATTAATTGATATACAGACTGATATACAGAAATTAAATGTAATTTTGTTGTGAGCATGAATTATAACTTGAAACCTTAATGCATTCATTTAAGTGTATAAAAAAAAATTAAAATCCAAAAGGGGGGGGGGGTTTAGGGAAATTTAGGGGGGGGGGTTTACACCAAAAAAATACCAAAGGGGGGGGGGGTTAACCCCCAAACCCTCCCCCTGTGTACGCGCCTGATATCATTACTGGTCGCCATATAACTTTTATTAATCAAAGTGGGCTTAAAATGCGGGTACCTGCGCATTTGGTTTGGTTAGAATGCATTGCGAAGCTGGTCTACTCCATATCACACGTTCAGCTGCTTTTTTTCAGGTGTCTCTCAGTGAGGAGTTTGACTGTTGTTCCATCACACATGATTGTGTGTCAATATGGATACGGCTAGGTCCCTTAGTCGACATAATTTTCATTTTTCAACATAATAGGGTCTATCTCTAGCTTGCAATGTCGATGATGACTCGTTGTTTGTCCTTATATGGGCAGTCACTGTTCTTGAAAGCCTGTACTCTCTACCTCATCTCTTCCCTCCCAGAGCTCTTCGTTTTTTGTCACCTTCTCTCTCTCCCTCTCATTTCCTCTTTCTTTTCTACTCCATGCGATTCTTCTCTCTCTCTCTCTCTCTCTCTCTCATTTTTTCTTGCCTCTGTTTTTTCCTTTTACTCCATTTCTGGGAGAGAAGGGGTGAATGTTCAGAGCACATTTATTTCATGCATTCTGTGCATTGTCGAGATTCAATTTTTAATGCCAGTTTTTAAATTTACATGTCAGTTTTGTTATTGCTATTATCGTTATTATTATTATTGTATTTTCTTTTTATCCTCAAATGTATATATTGTTTATGTTGCTTGCACATGTATGTCACTTGACAGTGGAGGACAAATTTCTGTATTTTTTTAAAACAGACAGTAAATTATCTTGAATCTTGATGTATATGTGTCAACCAGCTTTTGCACTACAGTCTATAAAATCAGAAACTTATGCAAATTTTGTGCGGATTAGATTTGTGAAAGTATATCACAGCAACATAAATGCACCTTTATCAATTCCATGTAACATAAATTTTGACTTTATAGTTTACACAAACAAGTAACGACAATAATATTCATGAAATTCATCCTCTTTCCCTCACTCTTTCTCCAATGGCATTTCTGAAATATCAAAATCAGACAAATAAAACACATAACACATCAATTCCTTCTTTTCAACTCTACATTCTTATGCCTGAAGAATCATTTAATATTGTCAAAACACAAGACTGACATTCAAAGCAAGAGAAAGTCATTGTACACATTTTTTTTCCTTCAACCAAAGACGATCTGATACGTTCTAATATTTCTTTATTATGAAATACAAGATCAGGCGATTGTGTAAACAAAGATTGAATTTCTCATAAGGGTAAACACTTAATCAGCTCAGTATAGACAAAAAATTCAATACCAAACAAGAATTTGAAATTACAACAGGCATAATAATCATAAATACTACCAAAAAAAGAGGAACATTATTTTTTGTTTCACTTTATTTTTTTTAATTCTCTTTTTTTTTAGGAGGGGTGGGTAAGTTTAAGTTATTTGCAATTGATACAGTTTCAGCTCGGTCTGAAGAGCTTTTTACAAATACTCAGACAATGTCTGTCTTTCTTAGCTCAGGTGAAAAGAAATACTTGAAATATAGAACTCAGAGTTTTGACTCTGCCAGAGATAACCCCTTACTTGGTAATGTTCTCTGTAAATCAAAGATGGGATTGGTTCTTTGAACAAAGGCAGTGGTTGAACGCATGTGCTCGATTAGACAAACACATTTCGTCATTTGTAAACTTACATGATAATGTAAATGAAATATAATTGAAATTTACAATTTAAATATAATACAAGTATCTATTTTACATTTTGAGATAAATGATATAACACATAGCATTTCTATTTTCAACATAAGTACTATACATGTATATACTTCGAATCAACACAAAAGATGCAAGTTTGAACACTTGAGTACTATTTACTTAAAGATTATGAAATATATAACTGATTATATAGTAAGTACAGAAATATACATCTTCTTGAAAATTGGAAATTTCTTGAAGAAAGGGAACATCTTTATGTTATCATTTGTGCCTGACACATCAACAAATTTAAAAAAATGGACTGTATGAAAATAAAGGCCACATCTCAAAGGTGTTCAAAACTTGTAAAAATTCAAGATATGATTTTCCTCACATTTTCAATAACTCAAGGCACTTTGTTAAGTTAGATTTTCTTATTCTTTGACAAAGAAACGGCTACTCACAGATTCACAATATTCCATTCATGTTTTTGCTTATATCAAAGACATATTGTGTTGCCATGAACATGAATCCAACTTAAGAAACCACTTCTGTGACTTGCAAAACATGTAAACCTAAAATGAAAACAATGAAAAATGAAAGTACATTAACCCTTTAACATGGATTGAATGCCATTTACAAGTTTCTTCTCAAGAAAAATGTTGGCATGACAACATACACAGAGTGAAATCTGAATATTCTATGCCAACATCTAAGAACTTTGAGTAAATATATCTCCATTGTTTATAATACAAGAGTAAATATGAATGGGTGTTAAGTACACAATAGTAAGAGAATGCAAACAATAAATTCACTTTGAAAATTATTTTCATGGTTAATACAGACTACAAGTAAGATGTATTTATAATAACGAAGAACATCTTTAACAATCTTGGAACGTAATAAAGGCATCGGTACAAGATAGAAAATGGAATGTATGGATTGAATATTGCTCCTGTACTTGCAATGTTGCTGTAATGAAATATATAATGTGTCATTCAATATAATGCTAGCAGCTAGGATACATCTTTCAGCTTAGGATTCAAAACTATGAACTTTGTTCTCCTTACACCTTCCCTACCATGATGCATACATGCCAACATTTAAAAATAAGAAATCTGTACAAATTATGCTATTTAAAAAAAAAGAGGAACAATCCTAACTCTCCTATTCAATACTACAGACAAATTTGTACAGGAAGAGGAACACCTGCATTAAAATGATAATTATCTTCTCCCAAAAAGAGGAATGTTCCTCTTTAATCTGAACAGTTGGCATGTATGCATGATGTAAAATGCAGCTGAGGTGTTATTACTGAGCTTGTGCCGATCAGATTCAAAATGAATACAGCTGGGCATTTCATATTGTTTCCAACTATGACAGTTCTATTCACATGCTAGGTATGTGAATATCAACCAATAGGAGAGCAGCATTGGACTTGAAAGAACCCATACCATTACTCCCAGTTACTTGAACTACAGTGGTAGGGTTGATATATATCCTAGCCTTAAGGGTATCCAAATGTAGCCTTATTTATACAATCTACAATAACAATAAACACCAAACAGCAGCATAAATTGCACTGTACTACCTCATTCACATCACCCAATAAACTCCAAACCAACTGCTAATAAAGAAAAGAACCTTGAATGCTTCTTTTAAACAGAGATGTGGTGCCATATAATTGATGAGAATCACCATCATCATCATCTACTCAGGGTAATGTAAGGTTTATTCCATCTTTGTTGGTTTGGAGTCGATGACTGCAGTACAAGGCTGAGAGAATCTTGTGTCAGTCAACTATGTCAATAGACAAGGCTTCAACTCTAATTGCAAACCTACTTGGCTGACATGGAAATGAAATGTTTGCACTTAAGATACATTAAAAAAAAACATTTAAAAAGTGTTAAAATTCATGTCAGTATAAACACAAGTCAAAACTTGAAATGAAATTGAAGTGCAAAATGAGAGGAAGCGAAAAGAAAAGTCACATCATAATACACTTGGAATCTACAAATTTAGCTTCAATGTTTACTATTGTATTTCATGTGAAGTGCTCTAGCAACATACTACCTTTCTATTTACGTCATGTCATGAGCATGAATGTACAAGAAAACATAATAGAGAAGTGACAGATGCATTCAACTGAGCTAAATCTTTAAAACTGTGCTTCCTATAGCAATGAGTTCTCCTTCCTCAATATCCATTGTTGTGCCAAGAGTAATGACCCATTACATCATTCCATACCAGGTCACGCACCTATCCAGTTTCTCTTTCTACCATTCCTTTTTTCTATATACACATATATATAAATGAATTTCTTTCTGTACAGCAGTGTTTGATATCGTAGATGAAATCATTACAAAATAGAATTAAGTATCATTTATGTTGTATACTGTTTTTACACTCTTACTTTATTGTTAACATACCTGAGCAGATTTTTTTTCTTCAATATCATTTTGAGAGAAAAAAATATGACAATCTAAGTAAGTGATTGAATAAATGTATACATATTTTTCTACATGAAAATATATTATGAAACCTAAACTATCGATATGTTTTACATGTACATTTTGTATTCACCTCTACCGTATAAAGTACATGCAACACCAATTTGGCAAAGAAATCTGGACGATATCTGAAAAATACTAATTCATGAAAAATAATGACTGCCATACATTCTCAGCTCTACAGTGTAAATCTGCAAATAAAAAATCTTTCGATGTAATCCCAGACTGATTTCCAGGCAATCATGATGACAATGAGACTCTACATAGCAGATCTTTTCTTCTGCTATAAAAAAATATATTGAGATGACTGGCCTAAGGCTGACTTTCAGTAATTATCAGGAGTAGATAAATATATCTATATATATATCAATTAAGAGAACAAAATGAAAACCCTTGAATTACAAGGAGAAAAAAGAAATTATGAAGAACGGAAATTCTATCAAGCAGTTGCAAGAAATCAGCCACGAATGTCCCATTAAATATAATTTTCCAAAATCTAAATAATCATCAACAAAAATGATAACTAAAATATAAACTTTATATCAACATGAAAATAAGGAAGCAAAATATATCATAATCTGATTTTATTTACAATCACGCATATAGGCGTATCAGAAATACTGGAAAATAAAGTTCAACCATTTCAAGACGCCTCATCGCATGAAGCAGAGATGAAAATGCATAGAACGAAAATTATTGTACTATGATATTGATTGCAGCATGCTATTGAAAAAAAGAGACATTTGTAGCAAAAAGACTTAGATTTTGAAAATAATGCACTCAGAACTGTGTAGAGTGTCACATTGTCTTGGATAATAGATTAAAAGGATTACAAAAATAAATTTATTATAATGTTTGTAACAGTTAGGAGCTAGTATATAAAGGCATGTGTGCAGCTCTTTCATAGAAAACTATTCAGCATATGCAGTCCCCAAAGACATAATATCACGGTTATAATGAAATCAATGCTATTGACTGTTTATGTCAGGAATCGTAATAACAAGCATTTTGAAAGACTGGTAAATTGAAGGGTCTCTCTCGTTGCTCATTGGCTGGAATACATTCAAGGTACATGTTTAAGTATATATGTTTTGTGTTGATTGGAGCAGGAATAGAATAACCCATAACACTTATCTAAACCCATGGTGTTGCCCATCAACACAGAAATCTATATTAACAAATCCTATTGAAAAACAACATGAACAGATAATTTGAAAAAAAAGTGCCTTTCAACAAAACAATGATTTAAGTTCTTTGATTCTTCCATCTACAGATAGCAGCATATTTTGCAAGATTATGAACTGAACCATTATTGTTGCTTCCATTAAGCTCAATTTTGGGCACAGACAGATCTGTCTACAGGACAATTTCTTAAAATATATAACAAATGAGTGTTTCTCACACATTTGGTTGTATTTAAATCAGCATTTCATGAACATGGCAGCATCACTACAGATATGCTTGAATATATGATTCACTTTAATCATTCAATTTTGTAGAGAGTGAAAACAATAATTTCAGGAATTTCTTCCCGTAGATTTGGTCAGCTTTCCTCTCTAGATTTAAACGAAGCACTATTACTCAATTTCTCTCTCTGTTTGCTCAGCATCTCCATTGAGGGTGCTGGTTTCTTTGACTACATTCTCTATCTTCTGTGAGCGGCGAGACTTGATCTCTCTCTGTGGGAGAGGGGCATCTACGTCTCCATTGACTTCATCATCAGGGATGATGTCCCCGTTTACATGGGGTACATCTCCGTTGATCTTGATATCCCCATTCATGTTGACATCTCCATTCTTCAAAGGTCCGTTGGTCATCTTTGGCTCATGCTCTTCCTTCATCTCTCCATTTACTTTCCCACTGTCTATCTCATTGGACGGGAGAGGCTCCTCTATTACGTTCTCATCTTCCTTCAGATGACTATCACTGACAGACTCCTGCTTCACCTCTTGCTTTTCCTGTCCAATCTCTGTTGGCACATCAACCACTTTAGGAACTTCGCTAGGTTGAGGATCTTGCTTTTCCTGTCCAGTCTCTGTTGGCACATCAACCACTTCAGGAACTTCGCTAGGTTGAGGATCTTGCTTTTCCTGTCCAATCTCTGTTGGCACATCAACCTCCTTGGGGACTTCGCTAGCTTGAGGACCTTGCTTATCCTGTCCAGCTTCTGTTGGCACATCAACTACTTTGGGGGCTACGCTAGGTTGAGGATCTTGCTTTTCCTGTCCAGTCTCTGTTGGCACATCAACCACTTTGGGGACTTCGCTAGGTTGAGGACTATCAGCTGGAGCTGAGACAGCGACAGGCACATTACTACTAACTTCTGTTCTTTTATCTGCTTGCTTCTCTTCTGGCTTATCCTCTGGCACAGAGGTGGCCTTTGGAGCCTGTGGATTGGATGCTTCATCGGTATCTGGTTGCTTACGCTCTTTCTGCTTGCGGCTCTGCCGTCTCTTGGCATTCCTATTCTCCTTCTTCTGTCCATCATGCTCCTCATTTTCATTTCTCTGCTGCTGTTGCTGACCCTGCCTTGGACCTTGACCTTGTGGCCTCTGACCTTGTGGTCTTTGACCTTGAGGCCTCTGACCTTGGGGCCTCTGATCTTTCGGGGGCTGGCCTTGCTGTGACACTGGACCTTGTTTTGACCCCTGCTGACCCTGCCTTGAACCAGATTGACCTTGAGGCTTATCCTGCCTGTTCTGGCTTCGACCTTGCTTGTTGGGGTTTGGTCCCCCTTGACCCTGGTGTTGGGGTTGCTGCTGACCTTGCGCTTTCCCTTGGCCTCTGTTGGGCTGTTGTGACCTATCACCGCTCTTCTGATTATCAGGGTTTGGTCCCGTTTGGTTCCTGGCTCCTCCTTTTCGGCCCTGTATGGATATAAAAAAACATAAGTATTAATTATAGGAACGAAATGAAAGTGTCAGTCTGACCTTTCATTGTATTTCCAGTGATTAAATAACATATAACCAATGTTCTCATGTGCCTGGAAATAACCTTGCAACATTGTGACCTTCACTACATATCATTAATTAGTTGATTTCAAGCAACATGTATTCTACACCTGTAATCTTTTTACTTCATTAAAAAAAAATCAGTTGCTTAGACCCATTGCAGTAGGTTCATTTTCAAATGAGCATTTCAAAAGATTGAATCATGTTTTCAGACTACATGGACCTGCAGGTCTCAAATGGTTTAAAACAATTACCTTTTTGAAATATCCACTCTACGGCAATTAAATGAACATGAGTACAGTGTATAACTTTTGGCAATGTGTGATTCTTTCGATCTCCACATTCATACTGTACAATCCAAACACACCTTTATAGACAAATAGAAAATACAATGAATGATGTCAAAAATAACCATAAAGCAGGTTTCTTGAAATTATTTGGGCCTGAGTTGTCAAAGGTTCCAAAGATTTCTTTGATAAAAGGGAATTAAAAAACCACAACTACAATGTAAGTACAGGGATGCCAGTTAGAATTGATCAGAGGGCCTGAAAATCACCTAGAATGGGCTATTTTATACACAAAAGAGCCTAAACTTTGGTCTGAAAATAACTCGCCAGGGCCCAAAAACTGGCATCCCTTCAAGTTGTACAAACAGATCAGTGTAAACAGAAAAAACAATCAAAGAGTACACATTAATAGCTAACCTGTGTCATGGACCTCTGTAGCTTGGCTGCCATCTCGGCCACCTCAGCTTTCATATCGATATCGTTTGACGGACGAGGTTTGCCCCCCAGGGTGGCAGAGTCCTGGCTCTCGGTGAGGGAGATACTACGGGCAGAGAGTGGTCCTCCATGGTCCTCACTGACCGAGGTGGTTCTGGACATGGTGTTGATGCTGGAGAGGGACGAGATGGAAGGACGTCGGGTGGTGTAATGGTGCTGGACGGGGATGACCTCAGCAAAGTTCTTGATCAGCTGCTCAAGGAAAAATCAAACCAGATAAAGACATGAAGACCAGGATCAATAGGTCAAGGGGCCAATGACCTTCTTTTAATAGATCATAATGACTCTAACAATATTACAAGACTTTAAAACCTATTGAATCCATCACGTTTCTGTGCTATGTCGCTATGTTTCCTATACTTGTACTTTGTCATTCATATGAAAAAGAGTGTAATTATCTGTTTACTTGTAACATTAAAGGGAATTTCACCCTGATATTAAGTTGAAAAGAATTAAGAGGAAAAGGTTGGTGGAAAGCTTGAGCAGATGCAATGAATCTTGCAAGCTCATCTCCAAATTGCTCTGTACATAAAATTTCATAAACCTTCATTTTCTTTGTTATTGATGACTGAATAGACTTTTCCATACAGGGGTTGAATAGAAACATATATGCAATAATCCTAATAATCCTAATAATCCAAATAGGGTGCATGTATGATTACAAATTTTGATGAGGGGAAATAAAAAATGTTGTATTTCTTTAGAATAGAGCAAAATGGATAGGAGCTCGCGAGATATGTTGTACAGTTGCTAATTTGTGTTTGATTGATTGCGACTTCTAGAATTCATAACGTTCTTATCTTTATTCAGAATCTTCTCAAACTTTCACTGACCTGTTCCTCTCATTTTTCTGCTTCTAAAACCAACTGAATATCATGGTGGACTTCCCTTTAAGAGTTCATGTAAAATGCATATAAAATGCATCAAGTTATGGCATGGAAATTATTATGAATTGCAAAAATATTCAATATAACAAGTTGATATCAAATTCTTACGTCAATAAGCTTGTCTGGATTCCATGTGTATCTCAGAGCCTTGCCGATCTCCTCATCCACCTTCCGATCTGATACGAATTGCTAGATCAAAGAAAAGAAGAGAAAATAATTGATAAAGAGCTGTTTCATTATGTAAACTTCGCGCCGGTCGTGATGATCGAGTCTGGATCCATTTTCTCTCATCCAACGCACTAATTTCTACATTTATTTCATACGTACCTAAAACTTGGCTAGAGCAGATCAGAAAGAGGGCTACAATTCAATGTTTTAGACTGGATGAGATTTCATGCCAAAACTCATTCTCCAATAGAAAATCTTTAATTTAAGAATGTCTAATGATAAATTCATGTTCATTTTCATCCAAAAATAGTTCAATTCTCAGAGCCTTTTTTTCCCCAAACATGTTTGGTCACATATGGAATTGCAATCCCAAATGTTTGATCATGAACATGGCCTCACTTACATGCTTGAGAAGAAAAACACTCACAGTGATTCACTAGCTATTTAAAAGCAAAATTAATTTATAAAAACAGCTGTACCGGTAATCCAATAATAGATAGTCTTTAATATTGAAATGATATAAATATACTATATTGGAGAATGAATTTGGGATGAAATTTCACCCAGCATGATGAGTGAAATTCCAAGCTAAGTTTTAGGTATGTACAAATCGGATGAAACATCTATACTGTTGTCAAAAATGTACAAATTTATTAGGGCATCAAAGCCCGACCGATTCTCGACAACCGGGCTACCCTTTAAAAAGATGAATCACGACTCGGGCTAGTCTCAACAAATGAGGTTGGTCAGAGCAACCCACCCAATGAGCTGTAATGTTGAAAGGAAGGACCAATATGATGCTCCCCCACTGAGAAGTTCCCCCTTACTTCCCTCATAGAATGACTGGTAAACACAGACAGGAAGACCTTATGTGCCTACTTCAATTTCTCTGTCTCACAAGTCTCACATTATCCAAACAGTATCAATCAGTCGTGAAGTAACACATCATAGAGAGGTGGAAACAACACTCTAATTCAATTTGTAAAAGATTTTATCTCTCAGAATGAGAAGAGAAAAACAAGTGCTGCAAACATGGAAATATTGGAATGAAACTTTTTTTTTTTTCCATAGATTTTTACAAATACAATATTGCGCAGAAATATCCCTCTACCTAGTGTATGCTGCACTGCACTACAATCTTCCAAGGCATTTAAAGGTAAAGACCAGTATTGGAAACGCCCCAATTTCAAAATATGAAATGGAAGCTCTCATTACCAATCATGTGAAAGAATATGTTTTGACTAATACATGATGATAAAAAATTTGCCGGGAAACCGCCTACTAATTCATATATTTGGTAAATTTGTTTCTCTCATGGTCTGTGAGAGATATAGGGTAGTCCCATATACATCTTTCTGTGTATAGTGCTTGTAACTTTACGAAGAACGGGCCAAATTTCTTATCATTTTGACGATTCCAGAACCTTGCAGATGCTTGATGCTAGATGATCAACCTTTTCTGATCGATTCCACAACGTTTCTTTCACAATGCAATCGCATGACCATAACTGGTCTTTACCTTTAAAACTACTTTGAGCAAACATTTTCAATCTGTCAAGGAAAAGAAACCACACAACTTTTGGTCAAACTTTGTAACAATCTTACAGGTCATCAGACTTGAGTCGGCTGTTGCAATATACAACACTGAAGTCCTTGTGGAAGTGGTCTTTTATTTCAAAAGGCAAACAAAGTAAATAACAAAAGAGTGGTATCTCAGAACATTATCTGAGCCATCTGTACATCAATGGTAGAATATACCCTACTAACCTCATTTTCTGTACAAGTACATGGTTATATAAATGTTGGTACCTATGTTTTAGATAGGATAGATAGGATAGATAGGACATATTCAGTGTGTACTGATTTTCACAGAATGGGTCAAGGCTTTGCTTATGGAGGTTATACTGGAACTAGAGTCCCTGAATTATAGCTTGTGACTCAGTCATGTGATCAGGTATTGAATAATGCATGATTGAGAAGTCATCAACACAAGACTTACTCTTCAAAGAGTTTTTCATCTGTACACCTGTTGAGAACGACAATGTCAAATTACTTATGGGCCCTGTTGCGTAAAACTTACAATTGATGGAAACATCCCTCCACAGCCAATCAAATCAATGCTTCCATGCAAGTTACCACCAATGGCAAAGTTACGATCAATGGTCAGTTTATGCAACAGGACAATGGAATACAGAGGTCTATATTGTACTGTTGGAAGTATGGCATAGCTAACTCGCCTAGCTCATGGCAGACATTATTGAAGTTTCAAAGAAAAGTAAAGAAGCCTCATTGGGAAATCACGATTGATCAGCTTCATACAAATTGCAACATGTTTCAGGGAATAATTTTCCTCAAATTTTTTGATTAGCAATTTCAGGCGATGGATAAATATTTCAAATGAAATTCTGTACATTTCTATGGAAGAAAACTGCTACATAAAAGATATTTTGTATAGCAGTCATGCAAAAATGCATAGCAAATTGCGATGCGATACCAGGAAAATTATTCCGTGTTTGAAGTGAGTTTTAAAAAAAATAGCAGGACACAATTTGATCGATTTAATGTCATGCATGTACCTTGATCTCGGCTCGTAGTTCTAGGACTTCCACCTCTGTCATGGTAGCTGCTCTACGAGTCTTCCTTTCAAGTTCTTTAGCCTGCTCCTCACGAGCCACCAACATCTCAGTTGCCTCTTGCTGCAGATACAAAACCAGAACAAAATGGTAAAGAGCTTTGGTAATATGGATAGCACATGAAGTCAGACCAACATAGTATAGCGTAGAAAACTGGTATTCCAGTTAACCAAGCCCTGAAGGAGTTATTAGCAACACCAACTGCCAATACAAAAAAAATAACAGACTTTAACCTCTTAATGAAAATATAATACATAATATGATTTTTCTTTTTTTAAATCTTTTTTAAAATCTTTTTAAAATTAAAAATAGATATCATAGATTCCAAAAGAACATGCCCATGTCATCAACTATTTGTCATTAAATTTGAACCTAACATTTAATATTTTGAAAAGATGAGATGTACATGTACTATGAAGAGAGATCAAATGGAAACTTTATTCTCTTCCCAAAAAGCATCATTTAAATTTGACTTATCTAAAAGGTGAGTATCTTCATTCACAGTTTAAAGTAACTACAGGCCGGTACAAACTACAGTTATAAATTGCAAAGAACAAAAATCAATTAATGAGGTATCGAACCCTTTTAACAAAAACTCTTCAGAAATGGAATCTCATAGTAAAATCACCCCTACACTAAAGAAACTCCTACGAAAATCAATTATATCTAAATATAAGAAATGCATGTGCATTACCTTCACTTCTAAGAATTCATTGGTAACTGTTAGTTTTCTCTCGTTCAAAAACCTCTGGATCTCGTCAAAGGACTTTGGTATACTCTTCTCTGATTGGTCCAGTTTATCTTGCAGCATAACTTTGTGTCTCGTTAGTGCTATTGACGTTCTGTGGAGGTCTTTAGTTGAGCGTTCTAGTACTGCTACTGTATATTTAAAAGACGGAATAAGAATAAAAAGCCATGTATCATATTAAAACCTTAAATTGAAGCGTTCTAGTACTGCTACTTAATATTTGAAAGAAGGAATAACAATACAAAGCCATGTATCATATCAAAACCTTAAATTGAAGCTAATTTCTTGTAAAATGTTATATTCCATTCTAATCAATGATGCAAATGTTAATGAAATATAGAAGACAATTTAAAATATGCACAGTATTACATGTATCACCAACTGCAAACTCGGTATCAATTAAGGGAGATTCTTATGCTACTTTATATTCAGCACATGTCGACATAAACTGAACTAAACCCCATTCTATTGAAATTCATTTACGCCATCTCATGCAATATATTCAAACTCAGCACCCCCCCCCCCCCCCCGACCAGATATCCATACAAATATTTTTTTTTTATAAATATTTAACAATCATCCTTCAAAACAATAATACTGTCTACAGAGGGTTATACACCATTTTAAAACAGGGTTATATTCTTTGGTCAAATAAAGCTTCATTCTTCAAAATAGTGACTACTTTTAAAGCTGTATGCTAACTATTTTGGCCTTTTGGGGAATGGTTTAATAAAATATCAACTGACCTAATTTCTTTGCTTTGGCAGCATCTTGGTAGTGTAGTTCACTGTCTATATGATGGACCTTCTCACTGCTCTCCGCTGGCAGTAACCTCTCTACCATGTCATCATGAGGTGAGGTTTTATGAGAGGGGTGACCCTTTTCAGAACGTTGTTTACCTGTTCGGAGATAGCATAGAAGTGGCAGTTACTTTCAAGAAGTTATTACGATCTTCAGTCAATCTTGAACTGAAACATTGGTGAGATGCAACTGGTAGAACATGTCAAAATAGTAATAACATAAAGGAAATCTATGGGGAACACAGAAAGTACTGCCAGAAAATTATCTATCAGTAATATGACTTCAATTAAAGACCACCGTCTGCACTAGTTTGGCCAGGGGGATTAGACCTCCCTGCAAGGCCACTGACAGGTGGCTATCTCATCAAATCACCTCTCAATTAACATAAGAAAAAGGGGATCATGGGGGACCAACAGGTACCGCTTAGGCATTGTTTGATATAGAGGGTGCAAGTAGCTATAAGTAGTGCAGTGGGGCTTTAAAATTAAAACTTAGGGAAATATAAGGGATGAAATGATATAGGTTACAAACTTGACTGGAATTTGTTTGTACATCACAAGCTGGAGGTATCATATATATTTCTAAATATAATACAGTGGTACATCAAAATGTTTTTCTGTTTTTCCTTTGAAAGATTCAAACCAGAATGTGCTGTACCTGACTCTGCTGGCAAATGGTGAGAAGCTGCACTGGTTGGTTGCTGTCTTCCAGGCCTGGCCCCGTCCCCGCCCCTCCCCTCCCCGGGATGCCCCCTTGGGTGGGGTCGACCTCGATTGTAGTCCCCATCCCTGTCCCTGTCTCCTCGTCTGTTGTTGGGCTGTTGATACTGTCTTGGCTGCTGCTGCTGTGAAGAGGGAGGCCTCTGCTTTGTGAAGTTCCTGGTGGGTTGTGCAGAGTGGGTGTTGACTGGCTGAGCAGTGGCACTGGCACTTCCTGTAAAGTCATGTGGAAATTGAAATCAGATGAGATAACAACATTCTGTAATAGTTAACATATACTCATACATATACTTCAATTTTCCACAAATTTCACTACATAAACAAAAATTAAATCGATTAAAAAAACTACCTACCGGTACATATAATACCCCACAAAGGTAGATTGTCAAATCAAGAAGATTCTTTATTATATTTTAATATACATCTAACATACAAGACGATGATGATGATGATGATGATGATGATAAGATGATTAAATTGGTCTCAATTTGAGGAGCTAAACCTGGTTAATTCAGACCTTTGAATATCCTATTCCTCTTCCCAAACCATGTTGACCTGGTAGTGGAGCTATGCAGGCACCTTTTACATTCAAAGAACACATTACATAAAGTTTTTTTGTGTAATCAAGTTAAAATTCCTTTAGTTTCTTTTACTTTAAAAATATCTTATTAATCACAATACATACATCTGACTGCCACGAATATAGGAGGGATATGCATTTAGTATGTAATCTAAAGTTGCAGCGCTGGCACTTAGCTGCAAAGGAACTATTATTATGCAAACTGAACTAAAAGAGAGATGTTAACAAACTATGGTCTCCTGAAAGCTCTTTCTGCAGTCAATTAGTCATCTGTTATTGGTCATAAATTAGTCTCATATTACCATTTTGAGTGCCTTCTTTGAAAATTTCTTACATAAGCCATGTAATAAAAATGCAGCTACCCGTATACTGAGCATATATGAAATTTAAGAAAAACACCTACTTATTGATGCAAATAGCTGTCCTTATGATGTGTTAGTTTTGTTTTATGACATTTGGGGATAATATCCATGAAAATTCAAATTGTCATAGCCTTCCAACTGGGCTAAATTACGGTGTCACCCATTCTACATATAAATGTACGTGTGTAGTCTAAATTCAAAGTACAATCTATGTATTAATTAAAACATTTTTTTGTGGAGGAAAAGTTAGTCAAATAAAGAAGAACTTGAACACTGTAGTACAAGACCAAGGCAAACACCTAAAAAGTAGAAATATTTGTGGTACAGGTACATTAATTTTCGCAAATTTCGCGCTAAGATCGGCAAAATATATAAGCATGACTTCTTACACAAAAATGTGTGTTTTGAAAGGGCTTAATTGCATGCAACGCGAGTTTAAGAACCAGCTAATATGTTTTGGCGACGATCAGCGAGAAAAATTAATCACGCGAAAATAACATCGTTTACAGTACGAGTAAATGTATATACATGTATATATGTTTCCTAAGTATAAGGATATCACAATCATTGCTCCTATGATCATGTGACCTACTTTTGATTTAAGGTTCTTCTAGTGTCATTGAGGATCTGAAATCTGATAGACTTTGTTTTGCTCTAAAAGCCATCCTCCTGTTATCTCTAAAACCCATGTCATTGATATGATTTTCAGAGCAATCACACCGCACATTTTGTTGACTTTTCTTGGCTTGTACCCACATGTACATGTAGGTAAGCGCGATTTCAGGGTTTAAATGACAATCACGTTTGATTATGTTTGTTCCTACTATTCTAAAGGATTTTATAAATGACATATAAATCCCCCATAACAGTTCCTTTCCGTGAGGTATTTAATGTACTGTAGAATAAAGTCTACATTGTCTTCAAACTTTATTCTACTTGCATTGTGGTTGGATCAAAACAGCTTGGTGATAAAACAAGCTGTTTACATTTTACAATGTACTTGAAACATTTCCTCCATTTAAAAAAATTCCCTAAGTTCGTTCAAGTACAAGCCGGAAGGATACAGATGAATGGCTTTTCCTGCCTACTCATCACTCACTCTCTTTAACTTGGTTAAAATGAAAGGTTTTTTTTAAAACACAAATTCTGGCATTCAGCTAACTTCTTATCATACCTACAGGTGTATACGCCTAAATGTTTAATGTTTAATGGCTGATGTCATGTGTTGTACCACCCCCCCCCCTCCCTATACAGGCCTACATGTATGTATGGCAATATACCAAAAATATAGTTGGCAACTGATTATGAAAATGTACTGGTATTTTAAAGCACTTGCTCCAATTATACATAATTTCAACAAGATGTGAATGAAAGTTAAGGTAAGATGAGGCCTAAAACTAAGATAGTGCATGCATTTTAATACCAGCTCATTTCCTGACGATGTGATTCTACCTCTACATGTATACATGTATGATAAAATTATATTTTTCAACAATTATGTATCTTGCGTTCCAGACATGTCTTTTCGTGCCATTACATTTTACTGTTAAAGCTACGTAAGTTTTAATAAATACATGTATCATAAAGTAACAATAAATCATATTGAAATCAACAACTATTAAAAATGTCAAATGGTGTTCTCAATATCTACCGGTAGTCAATTTTTTTTTTACTCTGGGCTCACAGAAAAACTAGTAACTATTAATTAAACTATTAGATAAATTATAGATCAAAATATTTTTCATCTGTACCAATGAATTCTAGACTTGATAGAATATTCAAAATTTATAAAGATATCACATACGTGGACTGGATATCAACTATTTTGCTGAATTTATTTTTCGTGGCAGACACTTGAAGTTGGCTTGGATCACAGCTGCATATTCCCCATTGGTCAAAAGGTTTTTTTTTAGAGACCATAATAAACAAATTGAAATTCAAGGTGTTTTAGGTGTTAGTTCCCTATCGGCCATCATGCACTCTCATTGATAAGGCTTCAATTCCACGGGGAGAATTCTGTCATTCTAATTACGATTCCGGCTTAATCATGTGCTAGAGAGTGACATGAATGGCCAACCCATGTCTCCTCACTGCCAAACAGTTTATGGACCTACCGCTGAATATTTCATGGACCTATAGCTGGAGTGATGACATGTAAATAATACATGTAATGGCTACATATAACGTACAAGGCGTACATGGAGGCTACTTTCTGGTTTAGTGTTTAAAAAAAAATCTTTTTTTTTATTCATTAGCTACTGAAAAACTGAGGCTGTCATGTTTAATTGCTTTTATCAAAGCTCTTTTTATTTTTCTAGAGCTCTTAAGATTTTACCTGAGTTTCTCACTTGAATGTATTTGTTCAGATGTCTGTGTTTCATGACACATGACATCCAGCAGTTCATCAAACATGAAAGAGATTTTATAAAGGTACTCATCACTGAAATTGCGCTATAGATACTCTTGTATTGAAAAGTGGATATTGAAAAGAAATTAATATTGGCAGCAATGTTATTGTGACACCTAAATCTGGTTGGTAATGTACAAGATACACTTTCGTGTCTAGGCCCTTGCCTAAAACATTGAATTTCACATTGAAGTTCGGCTTCTACAACCAACTATGTGCGAAAAAAATACAATGTTTAACCGAGTTGATGGTAAAGAGATCTAATCCCTGTTTAATCTTATACATGTACATGTATGGTGTGCTCAAAAAGATGTTGTTCACACCTCTCAAGTCTCATTACTCAATTAGTTGTCCAGTGTGAACAGCTTGATGACCCAGGGTTTCATTAGAGAGTAGGGAAGCGAGGCCTGATTCATTAATCAGCCAACACATATCTAGAACAGAATGATCCAAACAGGAGTCATATTCATAGTGACCTGTATTACCATTTTATACATTGTGCGTTCTGCACTATGTCTTGAATATAATATAAATTCACATACAGCCTACCAAAACCATAGCATAAACTTGTTAAAAAGTCCATGAAACTTCATGATAAATATATTTCACATTTATCTTTACACAGATGATATTGGGATCTACAGTATATAGAATTTTAAAAACTAAATAATAAGAAAGACAACAGGATACACAAGCAAGTAGTACATGTATACCAGTATGTACATTGTTGTAATATTAGAAACAGTTGTTGGTATGTAAATTACATGTTAATATATATGCTGAGTGTGCCTACAGCTGACTCAATAGGCATATATTTTGTAACTATAATGTGTGTAAAACGACACTATTCCTTTCAGTTTCTCTGATTCTACAGACAACATGTCAACCTTTTTTTTGTTGTCTGGAGGAAATTCCCAGCCCTTCCAGACTAAACATAGACATGGCAGAGTTACAGGAAACACTAACCTGACCAGACACTAGCCAGACTTTAATAGTCACTATGACTACTTCATGAACTACTGTCCCTTCACTCACTTGCCTGTCAGCTGTCTGTCTCTCTTTGCCTACCATAACAACGTATGGGCTACACCAGACAGAAGCCTGTATGTATAACTGCTGTCTGTCTATGTAACTCTCCCCCCCCCCTCCCATCTCCCTGCTCCCTCCCTGCCTATGCTGTAAGAAACTGTCCAGATGATGGACCTGAAGCCTTATAAGTGTAGAATACAAGGATATCTCCTTGATGTCAAATTATTTCTTTTTTCCTTCTTTTTCTTTCTTTTTATCCCTTTTGTTTGTGTTTGTGCAATGGTACTATTTTGATAATTTAGTTGCATATTATACCATCTTCGAGCCAATGAACCACTAGATTGGCCCACCAAAGCACCCAGTGAGAATCTGCTGTTTCAATAAACTGAATAAAACCTTTGTTATGTTTTTTATTCCCATTTTGCAACAACCAAATATTTACTTAAAGGGTGGAAGAGGGGGAGCCTAATGGATTCACATTGCTGACGTCAGTGGAGACCTTCATCTGAACAATACATGTAGGCCTAGATAATAATAATAATAATAATAATAATAATAATAATAGTGTAAACTTATTGAGCGCACACACCGTCCAGGGATGCTCATGGCGCTAGCTCAGCAACAGTTCTCTATAATACATGTACAAGTAAAGTAAATGTTTATTTGATAATAGAGTTACACTATTAGAAACTCAAAAACAATTTTGCAACAATTATATCACCCATTTCAATCCTCAGCTCATAAATGCATATTTCTTTATATTAGATGTAAATCATAAACATCCAATAAATGTATCTGTTGACCTGTGTACTGACTGTGTATAATGCTTATGATGCTACATTAATAAAAAAAACACCTGGCTGACATCCAGAGTAAGCCAAATCTATGAACATCAGAAGGGACAAATTAATCCAAAAAAATTGCATTGCAATTATTTCTTTGCAGTTTTATTTTGTTAATGCAGGTTAGGAAAGGTACAGTGGGCGACTCCTTGCACTTTGTCCTGTACAACAAAAGGCGTTTTATCCATATGTACACTCCATCCATGAATGAAAAGTTTTCTGATATGACTGTGACTAGTAACACCATTATGCAATGGTCATATCAAGAGAGGCTTCATTTTTAGATGAAATATGAGGAAACAAGCATACCGGTACATGTACCTTGCATGTTGCCCGTCTTAGGCAACTTTCCATGGAATTGCTCTAGTGCGTTATATTTACCTGTTTTACTAGCTACAGCAGCATCACCACCATTTGATTTCTCATCTGGTGCATCAGGGCCTCGTTTCTTTTTCTTGTTTCTCTTATTTGCAGACTGGGAATAGAAAGAGAAAGAAATGGGAAAGAGAGATATCAGTTAGAACTTTGTACATATATAAATGTATATGATTTCATCAGACTTTGAATCAAGTGAGTGCTTACAAAAATTATATGAACTTTAGTTTACATGCATTTATTTTGCCCCTGGTGTTTCAATTCATTGCAACGTATGGGTCTAGTTTGACAGAGTGATACTTTGCTACTCCTGCTCCCCCCCCCCCCCCCCTTCAAACCTATTTGACCTTGGCCTATGTGACATTAACACTGAATAAAGTGTCTCAGGCCATATTAAACTTGTCGCACATTTGACCTACAAACTGACCTCTTCACTTCCCTCTATGTTGAGGCATACTGAACCGAATCTGAAATTTGTATCAAGGTAATATTCTAGTCTGCTGATGAGAACCAGAAGCATATTGACTTTGTGTAAAAAGTATCATGTATACACTTCTGGGCAATAACAGATAATATGATAGGAGGATAGACAACAACAAAGGAACAAAGGCAAAATTTCTTCATCAACAAATAATAATAATAATGATAATAATATTTTGGGTTTAGACTTGAGTGCTACAGTACATGTACATCAACAATAATAATGTTGTACTAATAATAAAAATGGTACTTAAGAAGCTTATGTCAGCGCTTTACAGATGATAATATAAATTATTACCCCGGCCAGGAGACTTACATGTAGGCTTGCCCACACAGAATGTTTGCACATTCTCTACTCCCAGGGGAGCATTCCAGCCAGGCGCCATTTTATTGACACTCACAATGCTGAGCAAACTATGATTTTCACATTCTACAGGGTACCCACTTAATAACACCCTGGTGGATAGTGGCAAATGTCAAATGACTTTAGTGCCTGGCACAGATTTGAACCTTCAATCTTGCATTGAATGTCAAATGAATGAACCAACATACCACAACACCTCCTCAAACAAACAAATACTCAATGAATATAACATTGGCTGGAAATTCATTGTCTTGTTTTACACTTCCTCTTGAAATATCCACAGATGTTTTGTGAGTGCCTGAAGTACACATGCACTTCCTGCATATTTGAGGAGCCAGTTTGAATATGTACATTAGTAAACATATGGATTATTGAGGAGTTTGTTGCACGAATATCACACCAGATGCCATGACAAGTAAACTTCAATAGACATGGGAAATGCAGAAGTGAGAGCCATATGTATGTGTTTGTCATTTAAAGGTAAACAATGTAGGGCTCAAACTCAAAACTAACTCTGTTGAAGCATTTGAACCATCAAAGTGCAAGTATTTTCAATAAAATACATGTATTAAGGTATGAATGAATTTCCATCTCAATGACAAATAAGTGAAAAGAGTCAAAGTTATTGTCTCCTGACTTTCCCTCATATTCTCTAAGACCCCATTATCAGATCTCCTTCTACATTTAGTTCTGGCTTGCTTCTTGCACCTACACAATAGTTTGGGTCCCTTGGTTTAAGGAGCTTCTTGCTTGGATGGGAGCACTCTGGAGTGCATTAGGATAGTTAGGACCGTTTCAAAGGGTTTATTAGTCCCACTTTCCCCAAATACTTGTAAAGTTTGGTTCCCTCAAAGTTGAAGGTATTCAAAGTGAAAGTCCACCCTTATATTAAGGTAATTTTGATAGAATCAGAAAGATCAGAGGAACAGGGCAATGAAAGTTTGAGCAAAATCTGATTTGGAATATTTCCCATTTTCTTTGTATATAAACTTTTATTTTCTTAGTTATTGATTGTGGAAAAGATGTTTCATATAGGGATTGTATAAAAACACAGTTGCAACTATTGAGGGTGCATTGTATGACTGGAAATTATTTTCTGGAAAATTAAAATTCTTTGTTAACTACAGAGCAAATGGGAGGGGAACTCGCAAGATACATCACAGAGTCCTCAATATATGTGTTTGACTGATCGCAACTTCAAAAATTCATAACTTTCTCATTTTTAACGGGATTTTGCTCAAACTTTCAGACCTGTTCGGCTCATTTTTTCTGCTTCTATTAAAACCAACTTCATATTAGGGTTAACTTCCCCTTCGAGTATCTAATTCTGTCATGGATTCAATATGCATGTTTCAGACATCAAGCCATAACATGTGTCCTCTTGATGATATCAAACGGGATGGAACTGAAAGGGCTTGCAAAGGTCAACGATATGTTTCAAGTTCATGACCTCCCCAAATTCATTCAATATGCGGACTTTAGAGAGGCAGGAAGCCAAGGAGTACACCAGGGAATGGTCATTGCAAAAACGTGATGCGAAAAAGTCTCCAGTAGCCTTGACTTTGCTCCTGGTGAGGGTAAAATTAGAAACATCCTTTCACTGGTGTGACATGTGTCGGGGGAAACATTGGATGAAATGATGCCATGGAAAACATCAATACAAAAGAAACAGATGACCTATAATATGTACATGTACATGTAGGCCTAGATGTACCGCATAAACTGTGTGATAGAGAAGTTTGCCTTGCTAGGTGTACTATAGGGAAACCTTCATGTTCACAACATCATGGAATACAGTAATACATGTACATGCTCATGACATACAAAAGGATCACCTTGATGGCTGTTTTATAAATGTGTTATGCATACAATATACCCTGTGGCCTTCTTGGAACATAATAGTTGGGTTTCAATGGACCGTGGAGGCAATGAATGAATAGATGCAAACGATTGAAAATATTTCTTTAAAAGGGGAAACAAAAAGGGTGTGGTAAACTTTTGGATAATAACTACAGGTATTCCAATATTGTGAGAACTTGTCACCTATATTTTACCAGGGTACATAAAAAAGTCATGCATATTTTACAAATTGATATCTACTGCTAGTTCGCTTAAACCACGACCTATGACAAATGATAGGTCCCATACTTTAACCAAGCAATTAAAATCAAAAGTTATACATCTATTCCAAGTTCGTTTTGCAAACGCTTGTACAGTAGTACCTTTCCTATATATGTTTAGCTACTTTTCCCCGTTTGTATTTGTACGGAAAGACAAAATCAAAACATGTTCTACCAGCAGTGTAAATATGTACATAATTTTGTTTGAGTTCTTTTGAGATTGATGTTGTTCATCTACAAGTAAATTGTACATGCATTTCCTTTTCTATCCGCTAAGAGCTTTTCTACCTTACATACATGTACATCTATCCAGAGCTTTCCTCACCATTTCTGTATATACTAAAAAGCCAGGGTAATATTATGATTGCAATGCAACCCTGGGTAAACTAGACATACATGTACATGTACAGTATATCGGTAATTATTTTTTATTTTTTGTATTATTGTTCTATTTTGCACAGCCTACTTCTACCTCTTTGTGAAGCGAAATGCACAATCTAATGAAGTATACCGGTACCTCGATGCAAATTTTAGAGGGAAAATGATTCAGTGATCTGCATGTATTGAGATTATAATTCATAGAGGAATAATTGAAGCTGAGACAATGCACACTTACCTTCTTGCCATGCGACTGCCACTCATTCAAAACAGTTTTGGCTCCATCTAACAAGGAAATAAAGAAAGAAATTGAAAATTACATGGCCTTTTAAATACTCAAGTAATTTTAAGGATAGTTCATGCAATGAGGTACATGTATGTTGTCACTGTCATAATTTTGAATGTTTATGAAGGTTTATGAAAATGTTTACACTTTACAGTATTCAAAGTTCAGACTCTCTAGTCTTAAAGAATTTTTCAATCTTTGGAAATTGTTACCAACCTTGAGTAAAGTGTAGCGACCTTTAAGCACTGTCGGCAACAAGGTTGTATAGGCCTACATACATGTACTACAGTACATGTACAGGTATAGTTCTACAAAACATTGGGTGCATGTTATGTAGGTATTCTAGCCATTTTTTACTTAGAGAGAAATGGAATTGATATTGTCAACTTGTTGATTTCCTCCTATTATAACCATGCCAGACTTCAACGAAACATACAACAAAAAAGAGATGCATTTTATGCATCAGACTTCAACAAAGTTCAAATGACATGAAAAACATACAAGTCAGGCAGTTCAATGAAACACATCCGAACACATCAAAGCACTTACTCTTGATCATTGCAAACATGCTACTGATGTGTAGGCTGTTACCATGCCAACTATTATACAGTTATTCTGTCAAGGTCACAAATATCTTGATGTCATAGCACATTGCATATTTTATTGAATTTGGCTTTAATAATTTAATGCAAACACTGACAGATTCTTGGACTGTATTTTACCGGCTTCCAATAATAGGCCTACATGTACATGTACATTTGAAAACACAAAAAGGAATGTCTACTGTTTTATGTATGTGTATGTACAGAAGATGCAGGCCTGTGTACTGTATGTGAAGTATAATTCTACATGTGAATATCAAGCTTAAATGTGTACAAGTAAATGTAGATGTTATTCTCCTAAATTTATTTCAAAATGTCTCTTATTACATCACATGTACTTACATGTACCTCTGTGCATTTTATTCTTGAAACTGCTGTGCAACAATTGCATACACACAATAGGTCAAGACACTCTTGATACAAAAAAAAAAAAAATGGAATAAATGTCTATGTCTACAACATACATTGTCCTTTGTAATGTATTTACAGTATATAACATTTTATTAAATAAATTATGTATATGGACATGCAAATGTATGTTTATATATACATCTACATGTAGAGGGCTAGAGCGGCACACTCAAACTACACAGAGACTCACAATGATTTTATCCCCAGAAACAACTGATACAGTATACAGTATGTACTACATGTACATGAAATTGAATGAGGCTCAAATACAGTAGCTCTCAAATTTTGCATCCTGAGGAGTCTCTTAGACTTAGGTTTCACATTTTCTTTCATTAGGGACTTTTAGATTTGCGTGGACTAATACGTGTGACGTCCATTCAAGGCAGTGCTTAATAAGGACGTCGAGCGTAGCATAGACCTATTGTCTTCGTGCGAATCTAAAAGTCCCTAATGTTGTTGAGCCTCCACTACCTCTTTACACACACAAACATCTACATTGTACATACATGTATAAATATCGTATAAAAAAAGGGCAACACCAGTAAAAGATTTATAAAATTTATTTAAAAAACAATGGACTTTTCAATCAAAGATCAATGCTCTTTACAATTACTTTAAAACAATATCTTTCCCACAAACCAGAGGGGAGTTATTCTAGTCTTTGACCTGTAAACAATACTTATCACCACAGCAAGATCTCAATTCGAACCAAGATCAAACTTTTGCGCAAACAAACCGCAGCAGAACCTTGCCCATCTGGACTTTACCCTCAAATATTGAATACAATGACAGTGACTTCCACCTCTGTCTGTCACATGGTGCAATGCAAAATACCTCCACTGACAATTAGATGCAAATCTACATGTATGTCAGGTCCATATCCTCTTTAGTTTTAATATGAGCTATAAAGTGATGTCAAGGACAATCGAGAGCACTTCGAATGAGTAATAATCTAGATAGTGGAGAGTTATGAGTAGAAAGAGAACCCTCGTAAACGGCACCATCAAAGCAGATTCATTGCTGGTTACAAAAATTCTTTAAAGAGAAGTTATTTAAATATGTTTAATAGCCTACATGTACATGTACATGAATAAGCTTGGGGGAAATGAAAACTGTGATTTCCTACTGTAGGTTGGACTTTTCTTTTATTGTTAATATTCATGCATGTACAAGAGGAAAAAAACACTTAAGTCCAGTTTATCATTTATCCAATAATTTATTCCTGGCCCCTTGCATAAAAAACAAAAAACAAACTTATAATGCAATTTTACTTTCAGCCAATACTGTACATGTATGTACCATACTTTTGTACAAACTAACATTAAAGATAAACTCCAGTTCTGGTAAAAAAAAAAGAAAATTAATTCACACAGAATCAAACAAAACTTACATGTACACTGAATGTTCAAGATTACAAATAAATGACATGTGCCAAACAATTTTGAAAGAAAATGTATACTGGCTGAGTAATGAGTATAGAAAGACAAGGAAATCAAGGTAGTACTAGCCCTGACACCATGTGTGTTGTCCCGTAGCTTTCTGTGTACAGTGCTTGTTACTTTACCAAGACTCGGTCAAATTTATTATGATTTTGATGACTCCAGAACCTTGCAGTGCACAACAATACTTACATGCTACATGATCAACTGTTTCTGATCCTTTCCACACCTTTTCTTTCACAATGCCATCGCATTACCAGTACTAAAGTTTATCTTTAAATATTCAGAGTTCAATTAAAACTCAACTGCATGTACAAGAGGACAATGTTCTCATTCTATACATGTAGGCCTACAGGCCGGAGTGTCAACTTTAGAGGCATGGTGGGGTACAAATATTCACTTAATGTACCAATCTAGGTACAAACATGTACATGTATATGTAGCCTATCTACATTGTAGCTACATGTACATGTATCTGTATCTACATGTATCTACTATCTATTAATGGACCTACATGTACTGTACATATACAAACAGAAATTACACTGTATATGAACTTGACTATTAAATATTGTTAAAAGTTTTTAAACCAAAGAATTCAAGTATTGTCTCTTTGTGGCTCCTGAACTAGTCATGTGCATACAGCATAGCCTTGAAAATAAACTGCAAAGTGTCAGGTTCAATAGACTGCCACGCTTGGGAAAGTTTGCATTATAACTAGGCCATACTTTGTGGCCAACACCCAATATTCAATACCAGATACCGGTACTGTACGTCACACATTGGACTCACAGGTAGTTTGCAGGCACAAACCCTTGTCATAGTACATAAAAGAAGGTCTGAGCTAGAAGACTATAGGGAGACCGGGGTCAATATTTAAAGCCGTGTACTGCTGCTCCTGACGATACATCAGAAATGGAGAGGGTTAAAGCTCTGTCCAATACTGTTTGCAATTGTGTAGTATCAAATGAGGGTCTGAGCCTGTAGACTATTAAACTGGACATGTGGACTAGACTCATTTCAAAAGTTCCACACTAGTCTATAAACAACAGAATCTACAGGAACACATAATATCAAGATTAGGAAAAACAGAACTGTAGAAATAACTGGTACCTAGTTACAAACATGTACAAGGTACATGTGAAAGGCATTGCTCAACTATCAGGTTTATTCTTACACTTTAACTTAATGCTGTCTTGTACATACTGTACAGTACAACATGTACATGTACATGTTGTACTGTACCAACTAAAATCAAAGACAAACAACAACAACAACAAATGGACAAATGGACAAACAAAAATGCAGTACACAGTAAATATTTGCGTATTTAAATGACCTGCACAAAGTAATATTTTTAGGTAAAAAAATTGCCCGTACAATACATTGTACACTTACTGTACTATTAAAGATCTACATGTACAGTGTAGTGACCTACTGGGTAACATGAATATGAGAAGCGCTACAATACACTTGCCACATTCACTTTTGCCTCTGCAGTTAATTTAAAGAAATTAAAAGAAAAAGAGGATGTGGAGGAGCATTGTTCATTAATTTCTTTTTTTTCCCAAACAGAACCAACTCATCATTTCCTTACCTTGTTTTTTATATTTAGTTGTTGATGTGTACCTGAGCTGATTATTGAAGATTGGCCAATACCTGACCACTAAGACTCTATCAGAAACATTAACAAACAAATCTCCTCGTCATCCTCCTCTTTTTCTTTTAATTGGGAAGTGATTAAAACCACTTTTCTGCTTTTTGTTTTTATTTGAATATACAGTGTACATGTATACTGTACATGAGCAACACATTTTGGGCAAACCCTCCTTGAAGATCTACAAAATCGTCATTGTATGTAGAGCCACTTACTGACATGAAGCCTACAGTACATGCCCTAAAGAGTACTTAAAGGCATTTTTTTTTCACAAGTAACATTACAGTACATAATAATAATAATAATAAAATTTAATTTTTATGACGCTTTAATAATACTAATGTCTCTAAGCGCTTTACAAATATACTATTACCCCAAAGATAACATATTTCTCAAATGTGATGGAGCTTACAATAGAAGACTAGCAGAAAATTCCCATTTTGCTGGAATGAACTGCGAGTACCGGTATGTTTATGCATACCAAAGGATATTACATGTAGTTCTTTTAAAGTTGGGAATGTAAGTTCTATTCTTTCACATTTATATTGACTTTTGTCAGAAGTAAAGAAACTTTGTGTACATTGCATCTGCTGACGTATTACGCCAAGAACAGGTATTGTAAAGCACTGATCCTCATCAATCTCTTTCATTATTCCTTAATTCTTTATGCTATTCAAGTCAGTGTTGAACATGGGTGATGGTATTTCATTTTTTCATACATGATTGAGTATTACCAAGGTCACTAAATGTCATACAATCGTACTGAGTATGCAGCTTTTATACATCACATTAATATTGTAAATGTAGGCCTATAATAATTTTGTCTGCTCCAAATTTGTTCAACATCCATGACAGCAACCAATTACTGAGATTTAAAGATAAACTGGAGTTCTGGTAAAAAAAGAAAATGAATTCTCACAGAATCAAACAAAGTTTTTACTGAATGTTCCAGATTACAAATAAATGTCATCTGCTACACAATTTTGGTAGAAAATGTAAACTAGCTGAGTAATGAGCATAGAAAGATAAGTAAATCAAGGTACATGTACATTATAAGTAGCCCCAATACCATTTGTGTACCTAGTCCCTTTCTGTGTACAGTTCTTGTTACTTTACCAAGACTGGGCCAAATTTATTATGATTTTGATGACTCCAGAACCTTGCAGTGCACACCAATACTTACATGTACATGCTACATGATCAACCTTTTCTGATCCATTCCACACCTTTTCTTTCACAATGCAATCGCATGTCATGACCAGAACTCAACTTTATCTTTAAATTAAACTGTATTCAATATTGCATGGAAAAAATATTCATATGTTGTTGTTTTGGGTTTTTGTTTTTTTCCTTTTCTAATGAGGATCTTACCTTCCATGAATGAGTGTACTGCTTTATCCACATTTCCCTCATGGCATTGAAGAACCAGTGCAATATCATCTCTACTCCGCGAAGGAACTAACTCACGAACTTTGGCAATCTGGGTGAGGAAGGAGATTTGGTAAAAATTATATTGTTTTCACACCATGAACATTTGATTTTAATAACGTTTGCACACAGCTTCAACAAACAATCTAAATTGGAATGATATGTTTGAGTACATGTGAAAAAACATACTGTTGAAATCTTAGAAGTTAGATGGGGCGATTTAGAGGAAGAAAAGATACAAATGTGATTTGTATCTTTACAAGACAAAAGCATTAATCTATATCTATATTCCATAAATTAGTTTACCCTCTATATTCCATAAATTAGTTTACCCTCTATATTCCAAATTATTATAGTTCCACTAGAATAGTTAATATACTGGTAGTTATTTCACATGCCGCTGTAATAGTGTAAACACTTAAATGTATGTGACCTGGCATTAACATATATAGATACATGTAGATATTAATGGAAATATTGTCTGATGACACTCAAAATGACCATTCAAAGTCTCAGTATAGTTTTTGTTTTGCAAGTCAAACATTTGCTCCTGAGGCAATTGCTCTAGGCCTTATTTCATCTAATAGATCTAGGGTTAGAGTTGGGGTTACAATTTGGTTTTAGGATAGGTTTAAGGTTCAGTGTACATGTACTGTAGTATTTGGTCCATGACTGAATTCATGAATTCAATTACTGTAGGGTGACAGAAGAACAATAGTCACTGGAGCAAGTTTCTTAAAACCTTTGCAAAGGAGGAGTTTTGACATACATTTGTAGGATTAAGAATACTGGTATAACAAGTTTCACATGTGCATTTACATGTAGGAGCGGAACAGGAAGACTTGTTTCATAGGATGTGATCTACTTCCCATCCTACTTCTTGCATATCTAGGCAAAAATGTGAGTGGCTGGGTCACGAGGTCAAACCATGGTTACAAGTTCATCCCTTCTCTCTCTCTCTCTCCCTCACTCTCTCCTTCTCTATTTCTCTTTTACTCTGTCTGTCTCTCTGTCTGTCAGTCTGTCTATATGTCTGTGTGACTCTCTCTCTCTCTCCCTCTCTCTCTCTGTTTTTTTTTCTCTCTCTCTCTCTCTCTCTCTCTATATATATATATATATCTCTCCCCCCCCCCCCCTCTCTCTGTCCGTCTATCTCTCTCTCCTTCTCTGTTCCACCCATCCTCCTTCCTCTCTTCTTTTTTTCTCTCTTTCATTTGGTCCAATTACAGATTTTTCATCCACTTGTTGAACATGGATGTCAAACAAACATCCCACTAAAACTACATGTAATTGCACTGAACAGTTGGCTATACGATTTGGGTGAATCCATAGCAATTGCTGTAAATTGCCGATAAGTGTTTTTTTTTAAGGGGGATGGGCGGCATACTAATGGCTTCAAGACGGACTCATTTTCGCAAGCTTACGATCTGTATTTCACCCAAATTCAATCATTAAAATTAATTTCTTGTGATTGAAATGTTCTGCTATTCAGCAATTTGACTAAAGTGATAGAGGTGTGGTAATTCTTTCTGATACAGAATGACTATCAAAAACAATCCTATTCGGATAGTAGAAAATAATGGCACAGACATACCTGTTCCTTGAAAGCTTCTTGTGCATGTCTTGGTTGGTCAGTCATTACTGCTTTTGTCCTTTCATCAATGAGTAAAATTCCAGAGTCTTTACTGTCACCTGAACACAAGAGACATAGAAATCAAATTGTTTTATAAATGTCACAAACCTCCTAGAGAAATGATGAACAAAATTAATTACTCAAAGGGGTAATGGATGTACAGTATATCAAATTTTACACTGCACATCACTCAAAATGTTTCAATGTGCATTTAATACAAAGTTCATCTCAACATCACAATCTTTTGGAAATGTATGGACACAACATACAAATTGGGCAATAGAAGGTTGAGGAAGGGTTGGGATGGGTGAGCTCAGAGAGCTCCACAAAGAGTATAAGGGGTTCAGTCAAACTGTATGCCTGTAGAACTGTACATGTACATGTACATTACCTGCCGTCTCTCTCTATTTCAAAAGTGGCTTTGGCTCCAACAGCTAAAGAAAGATGCTCAATAGTCTTGATAAACAACCAAATTCAACATGTAGGCATATTTCTATGCACAAGCAGTAGATTAAAAAAATTATAAATACCCGGTACTCAAAATGTTAATGCTCTTTAAGCTTAAGTGTATTTTCACATAACTCAACGCACTAAAAAAAGGTCTGAAGACATCTAGGCCTACTACATGAACAGTACGTGCATCCTCCTCATGCAAACTGGCAATGCCTACAAATACAAGACAGAGAGCGCTTGCTAGCTAGCTGCACTGTGAGAACGAAAACTGCTTCAGTCACCTGGTTTTGATAGACTCTACTAAACTCAGGGACTCGATCAAAGCAACAGCTGGTTGTTTTGACGTAAATCAGTGCCCGGTCTGTAGACTGTTCGTTCGTGTTATGAAAAGCAAATATTAGCTGTGGGTAAGCTTACTGTAGGGCATGATTGATGCACAAACAAATGCTATGGATGATTATTAAAATGTTCAGCATGAAAATGAATAAGAAAATAATCCCATGCACATTTAGCCTACATACATGTACACATAGTACATTTTGTACAAGTTCATCAATGCAGCACTTACACAGGGTTGTGATTTTTTTTAATTGTTTTAAAGTTGTTGTTTATTAATCAGAAACATGCTTTCACCACGGTAATTTTCTCACAGTTGTTTACAGTAACACCAGTGGCGACTGTGGCATACTTAGGAATAATTGTTCCTGGTGCAAACAATTAAAGTGCGATAACTTTGTTAAAACCCATAGGAGAGATATTTCAATAAGCAACTGTGAAATCATGTAGGCCTACTGTACATTCCACAATAAATGCAAAACCAAGTAATTCAAGCAAGAAAACACACAAACAATAAGGGGTGTTTTAAATAGTTTTAAAGCATGTCTTTTATGTATACCAGTAACAAAAAAACAAAAAAACAAAAAAAGGTGATTTAAGTTTAAAACGTTTTTAGATGTGCCACTGAACCATGTGCTTTATGTACATGTACATGTACATGTATTTACTTTTTGTTATCAATTTCCTGGTAATTTTCACTAACCAACAGGATATTCATTTCTAGAAGTTTAAAAATAGTTTATGGCATGCACTGTAGTCCTTCATGTTTACATTATTCAAATTAAAGGATGAGAATATTTTGACTCATTTCCAATCGTGATTTAAATGTTATATGAAAGCTTTTTCACACCACAAAAAGTCTGCTTTATCAACTTTCATGTTTTTTCTTCTTTATTATTTGGGCATTTTATATTGGGCATTTTATATTGGGCTATACATAAAGAATGAGTTATAAAACTTGTACATACAGTACATGTACAAAGACTTTTAGCTTATTCAACCTTGCACTGCTCATATAACAGCTTTACAGCCAGGTTGCACAACCAGAACTTATGTAATTTCAAATCAATGCTCCCGCAGGTATTAAGTCTATCATAACCCAAACAAGTTAGGGCAGAATGCCTGGCTCACCTTGGGGGTGCCCTGCCCTTTCAAAGAACAATGCTACACTGCTTCAGCAACTTTCAATAGGCAAAATGCAAGTAAAGATGATAGATGAACAAGTACATGTACATTTACCAGTAATTGTGCATAACAGGAATGGCATATATGATGAAGATAAATAGCGTTCAGAATTTCAGATGAAAACTCATATCGCCGAATGGGCTCCAGCCAATTCTTTCAAAGTTGAGAAGATTTAATAACGAATACTGAGGGCATCAAGAGATGCAGCATCATAAACTTTGACCTGACCTCTTTGACAATCAAGGCATTGTTTCAGGAAGCTGTCAGAAGTCAAGTTCACCAACATCCCAACGAGTGTTGACTTTAAACAAGGCAAAACACATTTCAATGGGTTGTCGGCGAAACTGTACAATTACATACAATATACACGGTACATGTATTATACAGCCTTACCTACTTGAGAGTCAAGTGGCTGCCAGCTTCTGCAAGGCTCAAAAAACACAATAAGAACATAATCAGCAACCTTTGATTCCGATAACAAAGGGTGATTTTATGGTAATCAACAAACAATGCACACATAAATCTCAGAACATGCATAAAAATTATAATGTGGTACACGTTCCTAATCTTATGTTAAGACCCTGTATTAAAGGGGTCAAATTACCATTAAATATTTTGACCTGTTTGCTTGGGTTCCATAACAGCTTCAATGCAAGTTTGATAACAAATAAATGCACTGAACCATGAAATGGAAAATTATCTGTGCTGGACACTATGATGTAAATACATTCTTAATTGAATGGCGAGCACTGTAGATTTGAAATTTACATCACCTTACATGTAATTATTAAGCACCCTGCAATCATTTCCCCATTTCAGTTCCATCATGTACATGTACTGTACATGTATGCTCCATCATCTTCTTTGATTAAAAAATCTATAAACCTCACAATTTGAAGATGTCTTATAACAATACACTTGACTTGTACATACATGTACAAATTACTTGGAGACAGGTGATCTGTCTACTTAAACAAGACAGAGTGGACATAATTTATTTGAATAACATAAACTTCAAACATGCAGTAGTCTGGCATGTGAATTATCACCATTTTTTGAGAGGACAAATATCTTTAAAATAATAGTCAATGACTGAAGACTACACTAATAATACTATAAATACCAAGGGAGTACAAAGTGCCTTCCCAGTTCTTTTGACAGATGCGACAAGCGTAAGGAGGAAGCAAACAGAATACATGACCTGTATGGCCTTGATAATAAGATCAAAGTCATCTTTTAAAGAGCTGTATCTAAATACAATAGGAAAATTTCAAAACTAAAGAAGGTTCTGGTACGTGTACATGTAATGTACATGTACAGCGTACATATTATGCATTGGCAAGTCCAGCATTCAAGAATTACAACAACAAAGCATTTTCTTGCTGTCCATCAAAAACAGTGTTTAGTTTATATAGATTCCAATCATGAAAGTTTTCAACACTAATAACATTGTACCCTAATAGAAGATGTGAAAAACTATGTACATGTAGTACATGAAGAGAACATCTACAATGTACACGTACTTTGCGTACATGACATCAACTTTAATAGCCCTGTTCTTGATCACAGTGCTTGAAGTATTTCTGACAAACAACTGGGAAATACCACACTATAAAGTTCAATGTTCAAACCTGCATGGTTTTACAAACACATTGTTGTATTGTTAAACCTGTAAGGTATAGAGTGGTGAAGTGTGACGTCATCAAAAATCTTTTTTTAGAATTTCTCAATTTTTTCTTCATTTTCCGAAAGAGCATAAAAAATAATGTCCAAATGTCAAAAAACAATTGAATATGTTAAGTATTGGCTGAGATATGACCATCTGAATGAATATATTTCCTATAGGAACTCAGTGTTTTAATGCTCTGGCTCCTAATGGTTAGGAGTCTGGGGGGTGTTTCACAAAGATCTTAAGTTGAACTTATCTCTAAGTGGGACTTAACAATTATGGAAAGCCATTAGCATCCTTAAAAATATTTTGTAAAAGTTATTTTAAAAGGCTTAAAGTGTTGATTCAAATCATTCATATTTTCTATTTTCATAGGAGATTTCATGTTCTTGATGTGGAATTTACGAAAAGTCTAAAATACTTCAATTTTTGCTTTTGAATATATTTCATTATAAGGCTACAAATGGCTCTCCTTAATATTTAAGTCCAACTTAGAGTTAAGTTTGACTTAAAATCTTTGTGAAACACCCCCCAGAGCTTACACTGAGTTCCCATAGGCAATCTATTCATTCAGATGGTCATATCTCAGCCAATACTTAACATAGGCCTATTCAATTGCTTTTCGACATTTGGACATTATTTTTTATGCTCTTTCGGAAAATGAAGAAAAAATAGAGAATTTCTAAAAATAGATTTTTATGACGTCACAGCTTCGGTACTCCATAACAATGATAAAAATGTGAAGGAATTGAAAGAGAGAGACTAATTTAGTGATTTTCCAGATTGAAATTTACTATTAAGTACTTCTTACCTACATGTTCATGACTACATGTACATTTGTATATATATATATATATTCTGTCCAACTTTGCTCAATGTTAGCGCAACAACACTTGCCATCAAACTGACTTTGTGGCGATCTAGTTTCTACATCCAAGGAGTGGCCAGGATGGGAGTACATGTAGGCCCCTACACTCAATTCAGGAGACCTTTTAATCTTCTATTAGTCACTGTCTGTCTATAGGTAGCCTACCCGTAAGATTGTTAATTGTTTGTTTATTGACAGAATAGGAAAGTATTCTACAGATAGTAAATAGGGGCATTGGGTGAATAGCTTGACTCCACCTATAAAACCTTCAATTGTAAACAACCAGAATATTGAACAAGCCTCTCCAAATTTAACATGACATCTAAAGAACTAGCAACAGGCAGATTCTAGTAAAATAACAACGCAAAACACAACATACCGGTACACGTCGTAAACAATTTATTAGAACAATATTTTTGTGGTGTACAACTGTACACTGTACAAGAACACTGTATGAAAGAACAGAAAAGTGAACAGATACATAAATCATCATCCCCACAATTAAAAAATGCATCCATATAATCATTACATCCGCCATCTACATACATGTACGCACAGGTATCAATGGGAAAGGCACTGAACCAAGGACAGTGCGTTGCACCGGTTATCACCGTTGTACAACGATCAACATGCATTCTCTCTATTGTTACCTTAACAATAATAGGTGGGGTGTGCTATGCTATGCACACAAAACAAAAAAGGGCTACTTCACCCCAAATAATCTTCACTTGGCAGATGACACACCGCACTTGGGCAGTCCCTTCTTGGGGAGATGCAGGTTGATTTTCTATGAAATTCTATTGGCTCAAATTACCAATTCTCTTTCTCATTCAAACCCTTTTATAACAAAAGTGGACACAAGGTACTAAGAACGATTCTTTCCATCCATATATGTCGGCCTACAACCTATTTGAAGATTTTTTCTTCTTCTTCTTCCTTTTTTTATGAATCCTACATCAATTCTAGACTCTATTTCAATTTTTGTTTGTTTTGTTTTGTTTACCAGGTAATGATAAATACATTGTACAAATTTCAGCATAGCAGAGACATGATTCTTTAAGTTCAGCAAAGGTGTAGAACTCTACACCTAAGGACTCAATATCTGGGAAATGTCATTGTACATGAAAAATGTACCGTAGTAACTTTTACCGTACTCCAAGTTCAATGTACATGTAAATGGGCATGCAAGCGCCACTCTTTTTTAAAACCTACAACTTTCAAGTACAGGCTAATCTGGTTTGTTATTGCATTCGCATGATAAAATGTATTTTGTACAACTATTAGGGACTGACATTAGAATAGGGGTTGTGTGTCAGGACGCTTAAGAAACACGAAGCTGTCACTTTTGCCTTACGATTTAATGAAGATAGTCTAGAACTAGACTCTAAGACTCAAAAGTCATACATCATTACATGTGAGTGTAGATGTAGATATTTGTCCTTTATTGCCCAAAATAAATCTTAGACGATTTGTGAAATATCACTTACTGTAGGTCTAGACCTACTGTACAAACGTTTGTAAAACCTGTCAAATAACTGTTTGAAATCACGTTCCTGCAAACCTGTCCGGACACACGACATATTAATTTTATATGCAAGTAAAAATAAACTTCCCCTCCACCCCCCCCCCCTCCACCACCACCCCCAGCCAAGAAAACAATATCAAAATTGTTGGAAGAAATGTTTGCAGGCGCGTAGCCAGGGGGGGCGGTGGGGGCGGTCGCCCCCCCAAAACGCCGGCCAAAAAAAAAAAAAAAGAGAAAGAGAAGAAAAAAAAAGAAAGAGGACGTAGGAAGAAAAAGGGAAAAGGAGTCGAGAACGGTACAACGAATCGTCAAAGCTTCCGCGCTTCGCGCGGGAAGGGGGAGACTGAGTTCAAATTAAGAATTATGAGTCGGGAAAGGTACAACGAATCGTCTTCTTTCTCTAATAATTTTATGAAACGCCAAAGCTTCGCGCGAGAGGGGGGGGGGGACAGAATTCAGACAAGGATTAAGAGTCGAGAAAGGTATACAACGAATAGTCTTCTTTCTCTAATAATTTAATGAAACGTCAAAGCTTCGCGCGAGAGAGGGGAGGGACTGAATTCAGACAAGGATTATGAGTCGAGAAAGGTACAACGAATCGTTTTCTTTCAAAGCTTCCGCGCTTCGCGCGGGAGGGGGGAAACTCCCTGCACTCCCTGCACCCACTCCCCTAGGGAGCGCGCTTTGCGCGCTTTTTAAGTGATTCGCACGCTTCGCGTGTAGCTACCGCCCCCCCTAAAATGAAATCCTGGCTACGCGCTTGAATGTTTGGATGTACATGTATGTATATCGATATGAACCCTCACCATGAGCCCTCACCATGCAATAAATAATCAATTTATATGTTTAATGAAATTCATGAGAATCACATCTCTTGGCTCTTGCAATATTTTTTGTTGCATAAAAAAAAAAAAATATGCATTTCCTTGAATTTGAGTAGAGTCTAGAATACTATTGCCATTGTACTTTACAGGACCTCAGTTCTCAAATAGTAAAACTATATTTGAATGTATAATCAGATAATGTTAAATGAAGACAGTGTCACGATCATGATACTTGATGAAGTCTAACAAGTTAGATCTAGGCCTATATGATGGAGAAGAAAGAATGAGGTTGGCTCGCGCTCGCTGCATCTGCATCTGCATGCAGTGGCTAGTGCAATTGCATCGACACTTTCACTGAAGTCTGACTCTGACTGTGAAGAGCCTTTTTCTTACCTTGAGCAGCATTCTTTTTCGGCATCGTTGACTGATTCTCTGACTTTCAACTTTCGAAATTTGATTACCCCGCGTCGAAGTACAGTACGGTACAGCTACAGTGTGGCAGTAATCCAAATGGAGTCTACTCTCAATTTCAACAAGTTACACGACGATACCACTTCCACTGTCAATTCATCCCTAGATCTCCGATCCAGTACCGGTAAGTGAGTGCAGTGCAGTATGTGCAGTGCAGAGGCGACAACATGCGCGCGATGTGTACGGGGTAAAAGGACTCGCAGCTGATTTGATTACATAAAAAAAAAGATCTTATACAACTCGTCCTCCAATACTGTGCCCATTTTAGTTAAGTCGACCCCTTAACGTCCGTTTTAAGTTATTTCAAGGAAAACCTCAACTTTTGCAGGTGCTCAAAATCATTTTGTTCTTTAGTTCTTCTTGCCAAAGCTTACTTTCACACCAATGAATTATTATTTGTTCTCTTTTATCTCAAATCTCTTTCCATATTTTGTTAAATGGGGGTGGGATGGGAGGGGGGTGGGGTGGGGGCATGCAGTTACTCCATGCCAGCAGTTGTGCGTATACCACTGAGGGGTGCTGGTCACACCAGCACCAGGGGAAGGGGGGGGGGGGGCATTAAACTGGTCTTACTAAGTACAAATTAACAAGGCTGCCAATATTAAAGATGTGAAAAGGGTCCTGTCATCTTCTTTTCTCATCCCTCAGTTTCTCTCTCTCTCTCTCTCTCTTTCTCTCACCATATTGAATGTGTGGGTATATGCCCCCGCTCCCACTACACTAATTATTACGAAATTATAGTTTGTGTCGGAGTGTGTGGCGCATTCTCTTGAAGGGGAACAATATGCCCCTGTCACCCTGATCATTATGCCTAAATATATATATATATATATATATATATGCCCGTCCAACGAGGTTAAAGGAGGGGGCAAATGACTATGTGGCCCCCGACCACCCCTGGATCTCCCCCCCCCCTCCCCCACTTCGGCGAGCGGTTTTAGCCTAATTATAACTGAATGTAGAGCATTTTCAGACCACGGACACAATCATAGCATGGTTTGCATGAACAAAGCCTTATTATTGGTTGTGCGTAACAGAGTCGTCTTCACCATGAGACTACACAGCCAGAAATATCTTGGCAAAAATGATAGTATAGGCCATAGAGATGTATATTACTATATTAATAAGACATAGCTCTATGGTATAGGCCTACTAGTAATAGGGGGCGGGGGCGAACTAGGAAGGTAAAGAGACTCGGCCGATATTGCTGTGTTCGAATTCTAGGAGTGCGAATCGTCACGTTGACGAGCGGCGCATCACCTCCTATCGTTCCTGGCCTGGGAGCACTGACCGGTGAAGAAAATGTCAGGCTAACCACATTAACCATAATACTTTCATGCTTGTATGTATGGTTTGACCCTGGTTTGGCAACACGCATGCGGTCATTCCGACCTCTGAGGGGGGGGGGGGGGGGGGGGGGGCCGGGGTTTGACATGAAATAGGTCTAGATACTTTTGATATGAAATTATTAATTTCGCATTAGTGCTTTCCAAACACTTTTAATGAGTGATTGTCTCTATTTCGTAGTCACAATTTCCTATTTTCGAATAACAGAGCTCTACTCGCAGTATAATGAAACCTTGCCCCATTTATCTGCGCTGCTACCCCACTTTTCAGGCCACGCCCCCGGCCACGCCCAACCGTACATTCTCGCATTCTGAGCGTGTGTGCTTTTGCGTGTGTGCTTTTGCGTGTATCAATATTGAACACGTTTATTTTATTCAATTGTATGTCATGGTTTGTATTACACATCTGGAGAAATAAAACAAAATTGTTAAAAAAAAAAAAAGTGTATGCGTGTGCGAGTTTGCCTCATGAAAATCAATAAATCCATAATTAGGTGAAAAGAATGTATGTTATTTGGTTGAAACTTGAAAGGTATATAAAATTCATGTCTGGATTTTTTCACTCTCTGCATTTTTTCACTCTTTCCTGTCTTTTGAGAACCCCGGACAGTCACGATCACCCTGGACCCTCCCCTGCTTAAAAAAGGCACCATTTGGGCAAAGTTTAAATCACTCTAGGTAGGCTACGCCTATGTGCTAAAATCAGCGAGTTTTTTCAACCATCCCGTTTCTAATTTGCGATCGAGCGATGCGAGCGAGAAAAAAAGACAGCTGATCATCTTTAGAATGCTATTTCCTTGTCAAAATACTCCAAATTGTATACATTATTTGGGCATCTTGCGGTTCCTGACGCTTTGTTTTCATGAAGGTGCATTATTCCAGTATATTTATTTTTAATATAATTACTGGCACCTCGGTTGAAAAACGTTGCGCCAAAATCTAGTTCACTCTGGAACTCCTGCATATACTGTTTTCTTTCTTTTTTTAAATATAGAAATTACACCTTTTAAGTCCTATTGATTTTTGACAGATATATCAGTCGAACACAGTGTGACAAAACGATCTCACCCTGCATGGTACTGAGTAAATTTAAGACAATATCACTCGGCATTATTATTGATTTTTGCCTATTTGACGTCATTAAAGCAGGGCTTACATGCATTGCCCTTTTCTTTCATTGAACACCGCCCATCGACAACTTATGAAAGTAACTGCGTGGCTCCGGCATCCAGTAAAGTTGGCTAGTGGTCTGTGTGAGGGCGTGTGTGCGCGAGGGGGGGGGGGTATTATGCCTTTTTTTATTTGGAATTTAGCAGATTGTATATAATTATTGACTGTGCTGTTGACGACATGATTCGAATATGGGATGAGGAGTGTCGTAGTGGGTGCAATCATCTTCTTTTATACCTTCCTCGGCTTCCTTCTCCCTCACAAACCTCCCCCCCCCCTCTCTCTCTCTCTCTCTCTCTCGCTCCCTCTCGCTCTCTCTCTCTCTCTCTTTCTCTCTCTCTCTCCCTCTCTCCCTCACCCTCTTCTTATTCGCCTTTCGATTGGGGAAGCGCGTGCCCCCGGCATCAGTGCCCCTTTCCCCCACCCACTGTGTACGTCGATGGCAGTCTTTATTCGTATTGTTATTTAATGAGAAATATGGTACCCAGTAACCAAATCGCATCACTTCTCTGTAGATGTATATAACTAATCACATATTATATTGTCTAGACTAAACCACATCATAGCAAAAAATCATGCACGCATGGGATTGCGCAATCCAAAATTCAAAATACACCAGTTCAGAGGATGTTGCAATTTCCGAAAAACGTGAAGTTTACAACCCTGTATTAAAGGTAGTGTATCCCTTCTGCAGACATCATCGAATTATGTACAGCTTTGCATGACTTATGAATATGTCACGAATGCCCTTTCTGTGAAATTTAAACATTAGCAGTGTCCTATAGTATTCAAAATAATTAAAGAAACCCGTTTACTTTCTAGACTATGCACTGTTTAGACACTATTGAGTGACTGACTGACTTCTTTTTTTTCTTTGGTAATAACATACATAAAATAAGCTGTAAAGGGTACATGTGCATTTTTCTACATCAATAAGCCACTTTTTGTAATGGCCAAAGTTAAACTGCTTGAATCTTTGCGCAGCACAAAACGTACTACCATTCGGTAGAAGGGTCTGAAAATCAGACTATTCAATTAAACGAACGCGCTCGCTAAATTCGATTCGACAACTAACGGTCGTTATTTTCCAACAAAAAGAAATTTTCAAGCCCTTTTGTTGTGAGGGAACTTCTAAATTAGTATTATCTTCCAAATTCCGTTGGAATTTAACCTTTTCATTTCTAGTTTGGCCTGCAAAGGGGACATATAGTACCTTCAAAGGGAAAATCATCTTTTCTTTATAAGGTTTCCGAAAAACACAAAATTCGAAGAAAAAAAATCAACGTTTTTGCATTGTTTTCTTCACAACATGCTGATTACCAAAGAAACCAAAACCTTTTACTAACGTTCGGCTCCTTTTCTGCTCAACGTTTGATAGATTTCAATACAGTGCGTCCCAGAAAAAAACGAAACCGAGAATAATCGATGTTTTATTGTAACTTAATCACAATTATAATTAATAAATGACACATAATTATTTGTAACGCTTAAATCCTCCTCTTTCATTTGACTTAACTCATATGATGCATATTTCACGCATCACGCTCTATACTTGATCGTAAATACTTTAGCCCCCCCCCCCCCTCCCCCACCCGCCACTTTGAAAAACGTTCCGCGGGACCTGAGAAAGAGTTAGTGAAGATCATCCTACACATATTAACATTATATAACCCAAAACATAAACGACAAATCCTGCAAAAGAAATGATGTGAGATGTGTTTAGAGAAACATTACCTTATAGATATCGAGACGATGTGAGTATAATATCCCCTTGCTGTAGGCACGAGAAATGAAGTTATTATTGTCTTGACTCTACGGGTATCTCAACATCAAATGACAATGAGAAACGATTTTCATTTGGTTATCTTCTGGTTTCATTTGCATAAGAGATCAAGGTGACATTGAGAGATGTACTCCACAATTCAACTGACCCAAGAAAAAAAGATTTGCAGGGTTAAACCCGTGTGTTATTCGTTGTCTCATATCTTTGCTGTATGTGAGACCCTGAGACCCTGGTATTGTAGGCTTTTCAAAACAATTTGTGTGTGTGGGTGGTGTCAGAGGGTGGGTGTCAAAGGGTGTCAGAGGTGTGTGTGGGCATGGAGTGGGTGTCAGACCTTGGAGAGGTAGGTAGGTAGGTATAATAGGAATATGTTATAATTTATATAAATATATATAAATTAATAACTAACTAACCAACTAACTAACCAACCAACTAATTAAATAAATAAATAAATAACTGACCAGCTAACAAAATAATTAACTAACTAACTAACTTATATACTAATTGATTAAATGCATATTTAAAGAAGCAAATCAAGTCAATCAATATCAATAAGGGCCGACAGGTTTAAATTAGTCGTCATTTTTTTTAATATTTGCCAATAAACCCCCCCCCCCCCCAAGAAACAAAAGAACGGGCAAGCAGGCAAAAAAAATAAAGAGTCAATATATATATACATGATAATACACAACAGCACGATTTTTGTCTCGTTGCTATTTATTTGTAATCATAAATTATTTATAATTTTGGCCTACATCTTAGTTTTTCCCAACCAGTCATGCCTATAAAGCACGTTTCCTAAAGTTTCCTATAAATCCTCCCGCTGCGCTGCATTGATTCGATTTTAAAAGTATTTGCC